GTGGGGGGGGGGGGGGGACAACTTGCTGCAGGCGGGGCGTGCGGCGACGGTTTGCCGTTGTCGTTTCGAGGAGAAGAGGCAAGACGGGGGAAGACGGGGGAAGACGGGGAAGACGGGGAAGACGGAAACGACGGAGACGACGTGGCGTGGTCAAGCTAGCAAGTCAAGACAAGGCTGCCGCACGGCAATTGCCTCGGACGCAGCAACTTGGATTCTAGGGAGATTTTTGAAATGCTCTTGGGACTCGAGCAAGCCAAGATTTGCGGCCCGGACGGAGCAGGGACCAACCAGTTGGCGGGCTCGTACCGTTAAGTACCAGTGGATGGGATGGAAGGTAGAAGAGGCATAACTACTTAGGCACAGTCACAGTCACACGCACAACATACCGTTGGAACTTGTGCAGGAATGAATATTGGATTGGCAGCATCACCCAATCAACGAGCGGCCAAGGCCAGGATGCGGGTGCACAAGAGGTACCTAACGTACTTGAGCACGTAGGGGCTGAGTTGGTAAAGGGAGTAACAGCTGTTCGTCCCTGTTCGTCCCAGGAACCCCAAGTCCATGAATGTCCCGAGCACCTGTTGACACTCGCGCCTGTGAGCCCGGTCTGTGCACCTGCCTCCAATGTCCTCCGCACTCAACATTGATGATTATTAGAGGAGGCTGCCCCGCTGCTCGTTGATTGGGCCCCTCAGCCTGTGCAGCCGGACCATCCCATTGATCCGGCGGCAGACATGCGGCTCCATCCGCTCACTCATCTCTATTGTTCGAAATGTTTGCTGTTCACCGGCTCCACGGCCCGTCATATTAGCATTCTTGCTGGCTGCGTCGCTCACCAAAAAGGAAAGATAGGCGGAGAAACAGCGGACCAAAGCCAGTTCATGCGTTGCGTTGCGTTGCGTTGCGTTGCATTCCGAGGCATCAGTTGACTTGTTCACCTTGAGGCTGATGATATCTTGTGCATATTCAATGCAAACAAAGAAGGAAAGAAGGAGGAAGAAGAAGAAGAAGAATAATAATAATAATAACAAAAAAGAAGGTGTGCGAAACAACGGAATCGAAAAAAGCCCATGATTTGAAGCGTCACGAATCTCGGGCTGAAACTACCTGACTGAAATCAGAAACCTAGGGGTATCATGCAAACCTCACAAAACCAATGCCCAACCGGCCTCACCGTCCATCATTCCAAAGGACTTCGAGAAGCTCGTCGTCGAACGACGCGCTCACTGCCTTCCTCCTTGTAGCTCGTCCCAATTCCCGAATCGCTCCTACTTCCGCCGCCGCCAACATTTCCGTCGTCAATGTCGTCTTCATCATCCGCCTCCGCCGCCGCCTCCGCCTCCGCCTCGCCCATTGGTATATCGGACAATGATTGTTCTGGCTCCTCGTCTTCCTCCTCCCTCTTTACTTCAGGCTCTCTCTTTACCACTGGGCGTCCTGCAGGGCCTGCAAGGCCCGCGGCGCGGTCAGTGTCCTCGTCTGCATCGTCGTCTGTGGATCCGTCGACCTTGTTCTTCCCACTCTTGCTCACCCTGGTTGCGTCCCATACGACCCACGCCACACACATGAAAAGAATCTCGCACACCCAAAACAAGAATGTGAATGCCATGTACGTGACCAGCCGGTAATGAAACATCAGCCATCGTAGTCCCCGTAGTTGCGCCGCCAAGGTTAGCGAGGTGCTGTAAATTTGGATATCCTGTCCGGCTTCAATCTCCACAAACGCAGCTGTTGGCTGCATCGCCCTGCCGTCAAAGCTGACTCGTTGAGCAAGCTCAACCGTGAGACTGCGAGCCTGCGAGCGCGGAAAGAGAAGATAGTAACCCATGAAGAGCACACGCCTGGCCACTGAAAGAATGACATCTTCGTGCGGCATCAGTGCGGGCCGACGGGCCTTGAAAAGCACCTTTTTGGCCTCGAGATAGTGTCGCCCATCCATGGCATTTCGACCGCTCGAGTCAGATTTGTAGTCCTTGGCCAAGTCTTTCACCAAATACAGAGACACCATGAAGTTTCCCCGTTCCGTGTTCGCAGGTGACCGTGGCATGGAAAGGGTTACCGAAATATCGTAGCCTTGGTACAGCTTGGGCGACGGATACGTGAGTGGCGTGACCCCGTACGGGTTTGATCCTGATCTGCCATGGCCAGGGTCCTATTAGCCTCGACCGGCACAATTTCCATCGTGCCTCGACAAATGGGTGCGACGTACTGATATTGGAGATACACCGGCATTGTGATGAACTGATCGGGCACAAAGCTCTGGAAGAAAAGTGCTGTTGCGAGTGACGCCAGTCCAAACAGCGTCACTGCGCTCGAAACCAGAAGCACCACATTGACGGCGGCCCTCTGTGCCGGTTTCGACGTAATCACTCGCGCAGTCTCTCCGAGAATTTCCTGGATCGCGCTTCTTTAGCATGATGACGCGCCGACCAACGAGACAGCCACGAGAATCAAGTGAACCTACCATGATTGGATCCGAATGCGCCCCTAATCTAGAGACACAACCAAGGTGTTTTCAAAGCAATGGGGTGCAAAAAGAGAGTTCACCATCGAGGGTCGAAGACGCCCAAGTCTTGGTGGTGGCGGGCCATTCATGACGCGCGCGTCTCAAATGGGAACACAGGGAGCGCGCGTTTAGCGGCTTTGGCGGCTGCTGCGTTACCTCATACTCGAGTCGCAGTCACCCTAACCCTACCTAAGTACCTGATGCAACGCCTTTCTTGGCTCAAATATTTTTCTGTCCTTTGGTGTGTAACAGGATATTAATAGCAATGTAAGTAGAAGCACCGCCGACTGCCGTTACACTATTTACTGTGTCATCCCAAGTGCACTGCATTCACCAACACTTAGCCCATGCGATCATCTCTTACATAAAAAAGCCTTGTAAATCGAATCCCAGCACATCATTTATACTCAAGAGACATAGCTTTACAATCTGAGCTCAAACCCCCAACTATTTCCGTCATCCTCATACATTATCCCTTTGTTCAAAATGCGAGGGTAAGCTGCCCGTCCTTGCTACTAAAAAGTCGGCAGAACAGAATGTGCATCAAAGCCACAGTTCTGCTCGTAGTGATTGGCCATGCCTTCCATACCATGGTAATATATGTACAACATTCGTGCCACCAGCGAGTCATTTCAACACGGTTGAAGATAGTTGCTGGGGACCAGCCCGACTCGGCCACTGCCGCCGTGCACTTCCGCCTCCCACCAGCCATCGTCTTGATGACGGAGGATGGCCAGGTAGTCGCCCTTGGCAAACCCAAGCTCTTCGGGAATGGCGGCCTGATACATGTAGAGAGCTCGAGCTGTTCAAGTCATTAGCCGAGCATCCTCTCTGCTTCAGGGGAGAACTTACCGAAGTGCAAGATGGGTCTGCCATCTCGCGTGTACTGTCTAGAAGGGTCAGCAACACTCTTGCTTCGAGGTCGTGATCCCCCGTCATAGAGGTCAACGGCACCTCTGCCTCTCTTAGAACCAAAGCGATCGTCTCCCGCCGGCGCCAATTGAACAGCCATGTCTGAACCGCTGCCGCCGTAGCTACTACGCGGTCGGTCATAATCTCCTCTAAACGAGGCTGGGGAAGAACCCCTAGCAGAGCCCCGGGCTGATCCTTGAGGAGATGCCGATCCATAGTGGCCCTGGCCTGATCCTCGTTGCTGCGATACGCTGACCTGAGACCCGCCTCGATGATGGCCACCGTACGGGTTCGGAGATGCAGACCGGTAACGGGTATCGCCGCTCATCCGAGGCTGGGGAGATGCACTGCGAGTGGGTGCTGGTGAGGCAGCTCGGGGTATGTCGCTCCCACGAGTCACTGGTCGCGACGCTGGCGATGTGCCACGGTTTCCGGCGTCGCCGAAAACAGCGCGGGTCTGATCTGTTGCTTTCTTCGTCACCTCCTTCATGGCTCGAGAAGTAACCGCGGGTGGCGGAACCCCCAGTCGAGAAACAGAAGCTTGAGTACTGTATGACGGTGGTGCTTCACGACCACTGTGTCTACCAGATCTGGGATCTGCTCCCGGAATCGGGGTAGCTATGCCATGATAGTGGTCGGCAGACATCCTCAACGATGACTGCTTACCCAAATTGACATCTTTCAGTTCTGCCAAAGCCATGGCAATAGGGTCTGATTGATCAACGTCTTGTTCACGCCCTCGGCCAGGTCGTCTGCGACTGTCAGGGGTAGTGACAGGGAGCACGTTCTGGCCAACACCCAAAGCCAGGCTTGCGTTTGCATCAATAGGCTCAGGACTGGCAGTACGCTCCTATCGACAGTTAGTTCCTGCGGAAAGAATCATCCTAGAGACATGGACTCACCAATTCCCCTCTGCTGTGAGCCACATGCCACGTGTTTCGGTTCTGAGGGGAAGCTTGCACTTCTTTGGTACTTTTTCGGCGGAATGGACTATGATTCTGAAAGAAGCCGCTCTTCTTCTTAAGTACTCGCTTCTCTGGGCCCATATTCTCCACGGGTTCTTGCTTCACCGGCGAAACTTGTCCACTTTGGGGCTCAACGCTAGACATTGAAGTGGGAATGGAATAGTCGCTGTGAGATTCGCGGCTAGAGGGTCGAGCCGAAGGTGGTTGTGAACTGCGGTCCGACTGCGGCCCAGGAGGTACGGTCCGGCACAGCATTGTCATACCATCCATGGGATAGGGATCGTGAGGGACCGCGGCCAAAGGACCGTGCTGATTGGCATAATACTGAGGCGGCACCTGTCCTCGGCGCTGTTCGTCCATGGAGTTTTGCATTGGCGGAGGCGCCTTCTGAGGGGTCACCGTTGTCTCTCGGCTTGTTGGCTGCGGGGGCTCCCTGGCTTCCCTGTGTGCCAAGTTGTTCGCAAGCATAGAGTTAGGGTCATGGTGAGACTCAAACATCGATGGTTGGGGTGAAGAGGATCGGAAGGCTGGATTGATACTTCGTGGGAACTGGGCCACGGAGTAATTCTCATCCTCGGACGCTTCAGACTGGCAGTCATTAACGTCGCCTCGGCAGAAGTTGATGTATTTTGGCGGATCAGGGATTTCCTGGCCAGTTCCTCTCTCTGTGATGAAATGGACGATGTCCTTCCCCACCTCCATGTTCTCAAGCGATAGCCTGATTTTCTCGCATGATGCGTCGTCACTCACACAGACAGTGGAGGCAACATTTGCAAATGTCCATAGGCTGCTCTTGGTAAAGTCCAGACGCTCCTCTTCGAGGTCCTGAAACTTGTCTGCCGCAGCCTTCCATTCCCGATTCCATCTGGCTGTGGTCTCCTCCAATATTTTCACGGCACTCTCGTACTCAGTGTTTGCAGTGGCAAGAGAGATTTGTGTCTTCTCCAATTTCGCCTTATTACGGCGCTCTTCCTGTCCCATCACCATGTGTCCCTGGGCCAGGTAGCCTTTGATCTTCAAGCACTCTTGCTCATACTTGTCTCTGGTCTGCAAATCCAAAATGATCAGTATTTTTTTTTTTTTTTTTTTTTTTTTTTTTTTTTTTGCAAAATTACCATGGAATTGACGGCGTAACCAACCTTGTTTACCTGCTGCGTCTGCTGGATTTTGGTCTTCAGCAGCTTCTCGACCGTGTTTTGCACAATCTTCCGTCTTTCCTTCATGCCTCCAGCAAATGCCGCCAACGGCTCTTCCAACTCTGACTTCATCTGAGCGGCAATACTCTGGTGTTGTTTGGCCATAGACTCCACCTCCCCTCTGACAGTATCCAATGATGTCCTCAACGATCCCATCTCGTGAGAGCCAAGCGATTTTCGGCTTAAGCTTAGCAGTTTCCTAGCATATTCGTCTTCAATTGATGCTCGAGCTGGAGTTACCAAACTGTCAGTCTCTATTCAGAGAGATTGTTTTCGTTAGTCATACCACTGTAGAATGACTTCAGCTCGTCAGATGTAGTTTTTGCACTTTGCATCCGCTCTAGAAGCGGCCCGACTCCTGCATCGTCCTTGCCCCAAAAATTATTTGCAACTGTGATTTGATTTGATACAATTAGAGTCAGTCCGTGGTAAAGACCGCCGTGTATTATACTTACACGACAGCGCCACCGCTGGTGCTTCAACTGTTGGAGCAGGCATCCTGCCCGAGGAAAGGATGGCGTCCCCTGGAGATCGCAACGTCAAGAGATGAAATGACAGAAAAGGTGATCAAATGAGTCCAGAGAATTCGAGTCAGAGTCACGCCATATAGATTATCTTGCTTCTCGAAGTTGTGTTCTCAAAGATAATAACAGGTGTGGCACACGCTTCACGGCGCAGGTCACTGGGACCCCATTTGTTGGAGTTGAATAGCTCCTGACCGTTGGCAGAGCAACGAATCGGGCGCTCACGTGATCACACTCTGTTGGAGCTCCAAGGCGCCCTGCTCCCAGGGCTCGGCGGAACTTGCCGCCGGGGTGGTGCATCGATTTCTGTACGCCGCCTTGCCTCGTCCTCACTGCCCGATAAGTACCTGCACAAACCCACGCCAAATCACTGGTCTCTCAACATCGAATTCCGCTCTCAGCTGCATCACGTACGGTGTCCGGTATTCTGACGACGATCACGGTTGCTGAATCGCCGCAGAGCTTGCCCCCCACAAGCTCTCCAATCCTGCCGCATCCCTCTGCGACTCGCCATTGTCCGAAGCATTGAACCGCCATTGCTGCAACGAGTTGTTTGGACCGACCAGACCAAGCAACACCGGTCAACTCTGCTATCTTACCTGTAGAGTCGCGTCCACCACAGCCGCACTGCGACTTTCTTCCCATCGTGCAGCCAACGAGCCTAAAGAACGAATCTAGCCCCATGTAGGAACTCTCTGACGTTCCCTTCCTACGACTATTACCGTCCCTCGTCTCTGAGCCTACCTGCCTGCCAAAACTCCACAGGCAGGCGCTCTACAACAAAGTCCCGACTGCAGCCAGTATACCTCCATGGTCCCTCCGCAAAGAACGGGATCATTTTCTCCAAACCCAGCTCAGACTCTCCAGACTGGAAGCAATCATTCTCCCCATCCATCGCACGCTGGCGTCCTCAGTGCTGGCGCAAGCCCCAGCACCAGCAGTCCGACAGGGCCCAACTCCGTGACGAAGATTGTTGTAGCACAAGTCTACCTCTTACTGAGCACTATCAAGGAAGAAAAGGAGGATACGTCCAAGTGGGATTCGAGGGGTGCACAGCTACAAAAACTCATCGATGAGAACGGAATGGAGGTTTTTTCAAAATACTTCACCCGGCTGGTTGCCGGAAATGCCGCTCAGATATTTCCCAGCCTCAATCGGCCGGTCACGGGTTCCGGCAACTACCATATCCTGGTAGTCGAAATGCGAAAGATTGCACATGAGCCAGAACAAGCCAGGAAAATAGCGGAGTCAGTCGAAAGTGGAACGGAAGACATTTTTCGAGATTTTGATCTCTCGACATTCATGGAGAACTTCAAGCTTGATGCTTTGGAGAAGACGCTTCTGGCCTTGGCTTTCAAGATTGGGTCGCGTTCGGACCTCAAAACGAAAGGTAAGGAGCCATACACTACACAGCAATCTCTTCACCCAGCGATTATCAATCATACTGACACAAACCCAACCGGGTTGATGCAACAGCCGATGCCATCCTGTCTACGAATTTCTCCACATTTCTTGATATCATTTCGCATCCTGACAACGAGGCACATGCGGATCTATCTCCACCCTTCATAGCCCTGGTGGTTGACCGGTTTATACAATACCACCCACCAAGCTTCAACGCCTCTTCCCGACGTGATTTACAGACTTACGTAGCCAAGCGATATATCAGTATGGACCAGGCCCCTCCATCTGAGGTTTTGGCTGCGCTGGATATCGGTCGAGTTTTGGCCGATCGGCCTGCGAATGCTCTGGCAAGATATATCCAAAAGACTGGTTCTGAATTCACTAGGGACGAGGAGGCTTGTATCCTGTACCTGCAGAATCGTCCTAACAACATCCAGCTTAATCCCGAACAAGTCTCCGCCGCTTTAACATATGTCACAATTAGCCAATCCCCAGAACACGACCCCACTATCCTCGTCAATGCGCTACAACGAGTGATTGGAAAGTCCTTCGATTGGAATGAGACGGTTTTGTTCTTCGATCAGCCATCAGCGCGCATTTCGTCTTTCCAGTTCCTTCGGCTTTATACTGCATTGCTACCAATTGCAAAAGACCCGAAATACAACTTCGATATCCAGAGACTTTGGGGTGGGTCTTGGAGTGAACCAGAAGCTCAGCTATCTTTTGTGAGCGCGTATGCATCTTTGGCCCCAAATCAGCTTGATGCAACAACTGTTCCTGGCTTAAAGAGGAGTATCTCCATCGAAGATTACGTCAACTCGCCGGCAAACGTGCGAGAAAGAGCTGCAGTAGCTGTCAAACACCCTCTGGTGTCTGTCGCTGCTCTTTCCGCAATTTTTAACGTTGCATTGAACTCTGTCCATGCGTCACAGAGCGTCGAGGCCAAGCGGTTATTTCAAGAGGTTGTCGTCCCGAACTTGGACATCTTCTTGGTCTCGGCTCTTGAGGTTCCGCGAGACACATGGGCCCCGATGGCCGTGGATACATTAACTTCGCTATTTGAAAACTTTTTGTACAAACGCTCCCCAGAGTATGATTTCGTTTTGGACAGCCTGTGGAGGAAAGACAAGGATTGGGTGATTCAACGATTGATTGATGCCCATGCTGTTAAACCTGTGGATCTTCCCCTCATCTTTGAACATGCATTGCGGCATAATTGGCTCGACGTTCTAGTCTACCTCCCAAACGGTTTTGGTATTGATCTCGCTGCTCTGGCTCATACCGAAGGCTATTTGGACTTGAGCAGTTGGGCAAGCTTTAACGCGGAGAGAAGTGCAGAAATATCCCGCACACTTTTGCAATTTCTTTTGATCAAGGCAGAATTGGAGATACGGTACCAACGGCCAGCTGACGGCCAACTGCCCATGAAATCAAGTACAAGCCTTCAAGTTCGTACGGTGTCGGCACTATTGCAAATTCTGGAGGACTTCCTGCCCAAGGCACCCGTACAAGACCTTATCATGGTTCAGCGTCTGTGCATCACGGCATATCCTCGATTGATCAATTATGGCGAAGGCTACGATAATGTCATTGACGAAAACGGGAAGGACGGCAATGGCTTGCCAGTCGCAGCCAACAGCAAAATGGAAGATCATTATAAGAAGATGTACGGCGGCGAAGAAGACGTGCGCACCATTGTGGACATCTTGAGGGAATATAAGCACTCTAAAGATCCTTTAGATCAGGACACTTTCGCCTGCATGATCCATGGCTTGTTCGATGAGTACAATCATTACCAGGACTATCCACTTGAGGCATTGGCTACGACTGCCGTACTCTTTGGTGGCATCATCTCTCACAAACTAATATCAGACTTGTCATTGAAGATTGGGCTTGGCATGATACTCGAAGCTGTCCGAGACCACTCGCTCGACAAACCGATGTTCAAGTTTGGACTTCAGGCCCTGATACAGCTCTACGTGCGTTTCCAGGAGTGGCCGGGCTTTTGTCGACAATTACTGCAAATACCGGGTCTTCAAGGCACCGAAGCCTTTAAGAGGGCTGAAGATGCTGTTCACGACCACGAAGGAGACCTTGTTCGCTCTAGCAATGGAGCCGGCACACCCCTTGCACTAGCATTCAATTCGGATACTTTTGCTAATGGTGCCTCCGATGAGCAACCTGGGGCCGACGCACAAGCTCCTGCTTTTACCGCAATCGACGTTGACTCCACCATCCCTGGCATCGAGTTCGAAGAACCAGGCGAGGAGGAGCAGGGCAAGATCCAGTTTGTGTTGAATAACATTACCGAAGGTACTATTCAGTCTATGCGAAATGAGCTACGGGAAATGCTTGAGCGCAAGCATCAGCAGTGGTTTGCCAGCCATCTAGTGGAAGAACGTGCCAAAATGCAGCCCAATTATCATCACGTTTATCTCGACCTTGTAACTGTCCTGCAAGATAAGGCGCTTTGGGATGAGGTTCTCCGAGAAACATATATCAGCGTGTCAAGAATGCTGAATTCGGAAACGACAATGCAAAACTCCACCGAGCGGACGCATCTCAAGAACCTGGGTGGTTGGCTCGGCTTGCTGACCTTGGCGAGAGATCGCCCTATCCGGCACAGGAACATTGCGTTCAAGCAGCTGCTCATCGAGGCCCATGACACGAAGAGGCTCATAATCGTCATCCCCTTCGTTTGCAAGGTTCTGATCCAGGGCGCCTCGTCTACCGTCTTTCGTCCCCCGAATCCCTGGCTTATGGATATCATTCATTTGCTGATTGAATTATATCATCATGCAGAATTGAAGCTCAATCTCAAATTCGAGATAGAGGTCCTCTGCAAGGGTCTGAACCTCGACCATAAGAGCATTGAGCCGTCTGGCGAAATTCTCAATCGGCCCGCTTTGGAGGAAGCGACAGACGCACTAGGTCCTGAGCAACTAGAAGCGTTCGAAAATATATCATTGAACGGACTTGGGTCTACGGTTGGCGCAGGCATTTCTACGCAGTCTGTAGCTGCTACAATTCCCGACCTCGGCCCCCTGATCACTATTCCACCTACCAATGAAATGGTCATCAGCACAACACGGCTGCACGAAATTGTCCGAAGTGCTATGACCCGAGCACTACAAGATATAATCCAGCCTGTCGTCGATAGATCCGTCACTATCGCGGCGATATCGACGGCGCAAATGGTTCGAAAGGATTTTGTGACAGAACCAGACGAGAACCGCATGCGCGCCTCTGCGGTGAGCATGGTCAAAGCAACCGCTGGCGGCCTGGCCTTGGTTACCTCAAAAGAGCCTTTACGAGCCAATTTGACCAACCACATGCGCAACTTTTCCAGCGATCTTCCCTCCGGCCTTCCTGAAGGCACCATCATCATGTGCGTAAACAGCAACCTCGACCTTGCTCTCAGCATCATTGAAAAGCAAGCAGAGGAACGAGCTGTGCCAGAAATTGAGGACATGATTGAATCGGATCTCGAAGCCAGACGACGACATCGTTTGCAGCACCCCAACGAGCCATTCTTTGCAGCAACTGTGAACCGCTGGGCAATGACTATCCCAAATCCATTCAAGTTGTCTCCCACCTCCAATGGTCTCAATCCAGAGCAAATGGCTATTTACGAAGATTTTGCAAGACAATCGCGAACTACACCAGCCGCGGCGCCCACACACGCAGCATCAGCTTCAGATACCACGCGAACTCTGGCCAACGAGGTGCTTCAGGAGCCATACACAAATATTCCCAATATTCCTACGCCCGCAGAGACCCCTTCAATCCAGCATTTAGGCACACAGATGCAGCCCTATGCACCTGTGCAGACTGCTGCTGCCAATGCCATGCCCAGTGGGCGCAATGCTGGTTTTCACCAGATGGATGTCAGGACCTTGGCCGATAAAGTGAACAGATTGCTCCAGGAACTGCTGAGAGTTGCAGGCGAGGCTCGGGAGGATCATTTTTTGGATCTCCCCAGGCCACATCTCGTCCTCGACGTTGTCGACGCCCTTGTTCAGTTGATTATTAAGACGTCTCAGAACTCAGAGGAATTTGCCATTTACGCAGCTGAGCAGATCAGTGCGCTCATCTTCCAACAGGTGGAGGATAACCTTACGCTCGAGAGCCTGGTTCATGTGCTGGAAACCCTACGCAAAATTTCCGGCCCTGCTTTGAATAGCCGTGTACGTGCCCTGTTTAGCCAGCAGCCGGGATCGAACTTTTTAAATCTGCCTCTCCTTGCAGCCCTCATTCGCACCGACTTGCTTGATTGGAGAAACATTGATCTGGCAATGTCCAAGGCCATCGAAGCCCGTAAAGATGGCTCACTCGAATTTCTCGAACACATGCTTGACCTAGCGTTGCTGAACAACCGCCCAATCGCGCTGTACGCCGACTTTATTCGAACTCTAGAAACTGCCTGGGCCTGGATATCTGAGGAACCTGGCAGCGCCGCTGGACAGAGGCTGAAGGCGAAGCTGATGGGCTCAGGACTGCCTCAGCCATCCCGGGTCCCTACAGACGTGGACAGTCAAGCAACAGTCTTCCGACAAGACCAAATGGAATATGTGTTTGAAGAATGGGTCCATCTCTGGAACAACCAGAACGCACTCGACAAATCCATCACCGTCTTCATTCAGCAGCTGCAAGCGAAGCAAATTGTTCGTGATAAAGATGACCTTTTTGTCTTCATTCGGACTGCCATAGACTTGTCCGTTGATCGATTCGAGCATATTCTCCATGTCGGCGCTATAGGCGATGCATATGTCATGATTGATGCCCTTGCCAAACTCATAAGCATGTTGATTAGCCTGCATGAGGATGCCTCGAGCTCCCGTGCTTCGTTCCTCGACTCAATTCTGGTGTTGATCACTTTAGTCCTCAACCACCATCATGTCAAGAGAGGCGAACAACTGAACCAAAGGGTCTTCTTCCGCTTGTTATCAATGTTGCTGCATGAGGTGCACAACGAATCTGAGAACCTTTCAGAGCAGGAGAAGCGAAACATGATGCTGAAATTTGCTGCTAGGTTCAGTGACTTGGGTCCTCTGCGACTCCCTGGTTTCACTTTTGCGTGGCTCTCTCTTATCCAACACCGAGTTTTCTTGCCTGTCATACTTCAGATGCCGGACAACGCTGGATGGGGCCTCTACGTCAATCTGGTGGTTCAGCTACTCGACAGCCTGAGCGAGCAACTGAAGGCTTTCAACGTTTTGACCGTATCGAAAGAAGTCTACAGGGCAACCCTCAAGCTTCTGATTGTACTGCAGCACGACTTCCCCGATTTCGTCGCGGGCAACCATATCAGGCTTTGCGCCAGCATTCCTCCTCACTGCACCCAGCTGCTCAACTCTGTGCTCTCAGCCAATCCTCAACAGGGATATACCAAATTGCCAGATGGGAAAGAGGATATCAAGACGTACCTTGGCTTGATTGAAGAAGCCAAAGCAATGTTGCAAGACGGTGGGCTGTTGGATTTGGTAGATCAAACTATACATGCCGGCCCTTCGGAAGACATTGTCGCCCAGATCGCCCATGCCATGACACAAAGCGAGCCGCAAGAGACTTCGTACGGGCATATCAGCGTTGCGGCTAACCCTTACGTGATTGGCTCCCTTCTAGTTTATATTGGCAATCAAGCAGCTGAAAGACTGTCCCAGACATCTTCGTCCATTGCGATCACGGGCAGCGAGCCAGAAGTATCTACATTGTCGCTCCTCGTCCATGAATTGGCGCCAGAAGCTAGATACTATTTGATTGCCGGCATGGTGAATCAACTACGGTTCCCGAATAGCCTTACGGAATTTTTCAGCCAGGTGCTTCTCCATATTTTTGGAAAGGATCTGAACGATCCTGAAGAATCGGACATTCGCCAGGAGATTATTCGAGTGTTTCTGGAGCGACTGGTGGGTTACTGGCCTCAGCCATGGGGTCTCATGTTGACGGTTTTGGAACTGGTGAAAAACGAAAAGTACATGTTCTTTGATCTTCCTTTTGTCAAATCAATCCCAGAGGTAAGCTGGTCAACACCACTCACTCATACAGAACCGGCAAGAAGAAAAAGAAAGAGAACGAAGGAGAGGTGCTAACGAGACGATGACGTTTAGGTTGCCGATAGGTTCGCGGCCATTCTTCAGAGACCTTAAGTTAGGCCAATTGCGGGTTGCATTTAGCGACCAACGTTACACGATATGTAATGGGAGCAGCAAAGAGTACTCAAACTTTGGATGGAGTGATGAAGCCGGGAAAAAAACCCAATCGGCGCTAGGTTCAGGGAATTAAACATGCCATGTCCACACATTTGCGGCTACGTCAACGGAATCAACGACAACAACTAGGATTACATGATTTGGGAATAGATGTGACTCGCAGTCCGGGCACACGCGACCTGACCTGTCTTTGTTTTGGGGGAAACAGAGACCTGGTGCACATGGGTCTGGACGGCGCCTTAATACCTGTATTAATGTACGATAGGCGGGATGTCTGTTTTGATGTAGTGTGGAGGTCAAATAACACGGCGTATCAACTTTCTTTTCTTTTCTTTTCTTTTCTTTTTCTTTTGTCGAAAATAGCATGCGGCGTGGGAGTTGGCTTTGGGGAGATGGTTTCCAGAGGAAGAGGTTACCGGAGCATACTAGAAACGCACACACTTGAACGGCGACACTTTTGTCTACAAGACTAGACTGGATGCTACTGCTTATATGCGTTCCCTGCCGAGAATGGCTCACAACGAGACGTACCCACGCATGACCTGAACGGCGGTACCAGCCAGCCGGACATGGTCAACCCTGTTGTTCTTCATTTCCACCTCGACAACAATGTCGCTCTCCTTGCCCATTTCAACACCCTGAGTGATGTCGTATCGTCGTTTAGGCATCCCAGTCTGCCCCTTGTCGGCCTCGATGCTGAGATAGCTGCCCAAGCAGCACGCTGCGGACCCAGTGGCTGGGTCCTCGAATAAATGTTCCATCATTCTCGTGCGAAGCATCTGAACCGGCAAGCCAGACTCCTCATCCCTCCTCTCCCCCATCTTGACGTAGTAGAGTCTCGCAATCAGCCCCCGTCTCCAGCCGTCGTCCAGCAGCTCCTCGGGCGGGAATCCGACACCCGTCTGCTGCACCTTTGCCAGCTGCTCCAGGCTCTCCAGCTCGACCAACAGAAACGTGACCCCGTTGACGATGCTCACCACCGGCGAGCTGAGCTCGCGCTCCCGCAGGTCCTTGTCCGCCTGTAGCCTTTCCGCCGAGTACAGCTCCGAGGGCCGCAGCTGCCGGGCCGTTTTGGCGTGAAGGTGCACGTCGTGCGGGATGCTGGCCTGCACGAAGCGCTCGCCCGTGAGCTCCAACGGGACGGGGCCGGCTTTGGTGAGGAGCGTGTCGACGCCCTGGCCGAGGAGGGAGACGGCGGTGCCGATGGTTGGGTGGCCCGCGAAGGGGATCTCTGCGGAGGGCAGGAATATGTCGATGGTGCGCGTCTTGGCGGCAGACGGGTCGGCGACGTCGTGGACGAAGACGGTCTCGGAGAGGTTGAATTCTCGGGCAATGGCTTGCTTCTGAGCCTGGGTGGGAGGCGGGCTGAGGGTGGGCGGGATGGTGACCACGGCGAGAGGGTTGCCGCGGTAGGGGGTGGCTGTGAAGACGTCGAGGGTGACGAAGGGGAGTTCGGTGGGCATTTCGGGGCGGTACGCTTGAGCCTTTTGACGGTCGGTCGGATTGTCGTGTGTGACGATGGGACGATGTTTGCGGAGACGGTGGTGAATCCGAGCGTGTCTTTGGAATGACGGATGGACTTGCGAGTCGGTGCAGTCCTGCGGATGACAGGGGCCGGTGATGATGTCGCAGCCGTGAAGATTGTTGGGATGTCAGGTCAAGCTGGCCGGGTAACTACCTCGCCATGTCGGACCGTCTCGGCCGATGGAGGTTTTCGCAGTCATCGTGGCAGCTTGTCCGGGCGGGCCTGCTGATTCTCGAGCAGCCCTCGATGAAGCGGAGTAGGCCGACGAATCTGTAATCTCCATCCCTCTATTGGCCAATTCTCCAAGTGCCTCGTGCCTCGCGTCAACGTCGTTATGCACCTGGCAAGTCATCAACCGAAAGGCGCGCGGGATGATGGAGTGGCTGTTTGGCGTCGCTTGCGGTCGGTCACTGGTGGAGGTGCCGGGGAACCTCTGGGTAAGTACCTTAGGTACCTACTCCAAGGTACTCAAGTACTCAAGTACCTACAAGTAGGTACCTACCGTAGGTACGTAGTACGTACCTAGTCAGCTGTGCAAAGCAAGTACTCAGCACCTGCCACTCCGCGGTAAGATTACTGGTACTCGCCCGTACTCCATACACTGACAATGCACCAATCCGCGGGACGGGACCACATTCTGATGGATCGCCGGTCCAGGTCCATCCGCCGAGACCCTGAAAGCTGAAGCTCCGGGTGGGTAACTATTGGGTCTTTTCCTGATTTTCCCGCGTCCCGACTCGATGAGTGGCAGCCTCCAAGGCCGGGCAAATTGATTAATGAGGTGCTTTCCCGGCCGTCCCCCCGTCCCAGCGTTTGCATCAGTTTGACGAGGGAGGTGGTGAGGCAAAAGGAGCGAGAGCACGCCCGAGAGTCGAGACGCAAGGACACTCGGACTTGGCAAGATGATGAGTGAGGTACGGAGTACTCCAGGTGTCCATGCCGCGAGTTGCTCTGCACAAAAAATAGACGCAGCCGAAGATGGAAACCGCCGTAGGACACCGGCTGCCAATCACCCAAGCTGCTCTCCTCCATGGAGGCAGGGGGCGCGGGACGCAACGTATTGGTGATGGTGAGGTCACGACTCATGCCATGGCCCATGGCGCATGGGGACACGCACCAAGGGAGCGGAGGGGGGGGCGGCTTATTGTTTGGCCGACACCACGATGTACAGCGCAGCAGTCGCCTTGATGACTTGTTTTTTGGCGTATTCTCACGACATATTGCGGTGTACCTCTTGCCCAAGTACTCAAGTAGGTGGTAGTAGTCGTAGTCAAATGTATCTACCACGCCCGAATCAGCTGCTGCACCCTACCGGCGCAGACAGCTGTGAGCAACAGAAGCAAGTGAGAGCAATAATAAATCAATCGGCGTCTGCCGTACGGGGAACTGCACGACGCACGATGCACGATGCGCTCCGAGAGGACTGGGTCGTCATCCGGCACTCGAGCAGGCTACTATCAACTTATCAACTAGCAATCAGATTGATCGCATCGAGCCAATGGCCATCCACACATCCACGGACACGCAAACGAGCAACTCACGAGCACAGTTGCCAGTTGCCAGCCAAGTGCCGTGCATGCCGTGAAGCCAGATGAGACGAGGCTCTTGAAACGCACACCATTCCCCTGCCTTGCTTCCGACCGCAAATCACTTCCAGAAGACGCCGTACTACCGCAGGGCCCCCCTGGGCGGCGAGTGAGTGACGTGCAGGAGAAAATCACCTACGGAGTACGTACTTTCAAAGGCATCCAATGCCAGGTTTTTTTCCCTCCCCTTCCTAGCAGTGACCTGACCCCGTCCAAGACTTGACGTCTTTTTCTTTTTGTTACAAAAATTGCAGCAGCCCGTGAGAGTCGAGCATGCGTCCGACTGATCCGCGGCATCGGGCTATGACGACAGAGACTAACAGGAGATCAGTCCTTGGCTTCTCAATGGGGCAATCGCGAGGGCCGTCACACCAAGCGAGGGGTTTACCAGCAACTAGTCATCTTCGAGTTGAAGGTCGCGCTTCACCCCATGCACATGTGCCTCCATTTAGAGTGTTGAGTGCTAGATGCCGCGAAGGATTGTTGAAGCCTCGTCGGCCGAAACATGTCAGGATTGCCCTGTCTTGTCTTGTCTTGCCCAACATCCCTGGCGTCGAAGCATCTCTCCGCGCGAGCGCGGAGAATTTGGAAACAAACTTCTTCGCAATTGCGTACCCTACAGAGTACGAAGCACGTATTTCCGCACTGATAAGATAATAATTCGTGCAAGTAGCGGCTAAAAGAACAAGAACAAAAAAAACTCTTAATACAAAATGCTCGTCATTGACTCGTGAATTTTTTCTTTGAAGGCCGGGCTACGTATTAGATTATGCAGTGACGGAGACGTGCCGCCGCTGCCAAACAGGCGGGCGCTCTCCTCCGGCCGGGGCAGCAAAGGCAAAAACTCAAGCCAAACAGCTCCCAAACAGCTCCTGTGCAGAAATAAGAAATAACAGGGCAGGAAAGCAGGCAGGGTCCCTCGTCCCGCTGGAATGCGCCTCCCCTGCTCAACCCAGACTTGTTGGACTGGGGCCCTCCCAGCTCTCCGTGAAAGGCCATTGGCCAGCTGGGTCCCGATTTTTGTGCCGACTTGACGCACCGATGGCTGCAGCCCCACTGACGTTTAGCGGGCCCACTTCGGCAAGCTTGCAACCAGCTCCTGGCCAATAGGATATTGGGGGAATGAAAAAAAAAAAAAAGTTCAAGCTCTCGTGCTTGCTGCCTTTTCCCAGCCAACGCTGCTGGAGAATCGCCTGAGGCTGTCTTCGCCTCCCGTCCCAAGTGTCCCAGGTTCCAATCCTCACTTGTCCCCCATCCCCATCCTGGCCGGCTGGCTGTTCGAATCCCCTCCCTTTGTGTACTATTGTCAACCGCCCTCTTTTGTGATATTTTATTCTCGTCTTGCAGCCGGGCAACCCTATCCTGTGTTTGGCATCGCGGGAAATTCACACCGTTCTGCCACCGTCCCCTTATGCCACACATCTCCTAGCAGAGGGATTCGGCTTGCCTTTTCAGCCTCGTCTCATCTCACTTGGCCCAATAATATCAACAAACCCCTTTCCGCCGTTGCCGTTTCTCTTTCCCTTTTTTTCGATAATATCCCCCCTTGCGCAAACACAGCGAGAATGCCGTACAACACGCGCCGCAAATCACTGTCCCTGCCCAGCTTGGGCATACACATTCCTGTAACGCACGCTGCTCGCGCTGCCGCTGCCGCTGCCGCCGCCGCTGCCTCGACAAAGGCCACGAGAAGACCTCACTCTCCGTCGTCGTCGTCGTCTTCGTCTTCGCCAGCCACGTCGGCGCACCTTTCAGACTCTTCAGTCGATACGATGGACTCGCATCTAAGCAAGCGCCTCAAGCGATCACACGGAGCCGCCGCCTCTGCGCCCGTTGAAGCCATCACCGAGCAAACCCCTCCTCCCTCACCGGCCGCGCCCCCCGGCGTCGATATGTCTGACCTGGACGTGATACGCAAGGTTGATCTCGAGGGTATCAACGATGATATTGTGGAGGCTTCGATTGTCCAGTTGCAGTCGACAGCGAACAGACCGCACCTCATCAAGGAGTTGGCCACCGTTCTCACTCAGACCTTGTCTTCTGTCCAACAGTGCGTTATTATCTGTCCACAAATCTCCTCTTCTTATTTTGGATCAAATTGCTGACCCCCCTTCGTTCCTACAGATCTGCCAATCCATGCGCCATCATCTCCTCCCGCTTAACCTCATACATGAAACGGCCGTGCTGGACCGCTCTCGCCCCTTGCCCCCTTGCTAAAGAACTCGAGACTGTGCATCCCCGCCGCACCTACTTCTTTCTCACGACTTGCCCGCGACAAAACCTTCCGGATTCCAGCATCACTCAACCAATTCGTCTCCCCGCCGTCGTTACCCCCTCCGTATCATTGACTGATGATTCTGGGTCTGACGATGCCGACGGTCGCCGAAGAGAGTTGAGTCCTTCTCCCGAGGTGGATCTTTCGTCACCGGAGTTTGATGACATGGAGGACGACGCGGGCATGCCCATCACGCCCATAGGTTCATTCAAATCCCACAGTAACCGTCTGAGACACGGAAGAGACTTGCGCCGTGACTCTCCACCTTTGGAAACTGATGAGCGCGAGTTCACCCAAACTGCGGATATTCTTCAAAAACGCAAGTTCATTCACGAAAACACGCCTACTGGTTCTGAGATGGCTGAGCGCAACTCTACCGTTGAGTACGGCTACCGCGACGACGTTTGGTTTGGCGATCGTGCTCTTGCGACGGTCGCCTTTTTCACCAGTCCGGCTATCAAGCCGAGCCCCATGTCAACAATGCGCAAAGACGACGATGCTGACAGCTGGCTGAAGCTCAGCAAACTCTTTGAATGGGATAGAACTGCAGAGAGTATCGAAATCGACGAGCTTGACTGCCTTTTAGACGCCTGCTGATGACACCACCTTTGTCGCATTAATGCTTTTTCTTCTTCACCAATATCCACAATCTCAACCGTCTGGTTACATGTATTCTGCGCAACGCAAGGCGCACGGAGTTATGGGAGTAGGCGGCAGTGAAATGATCACAGGCGAGGGGGTTGGGTTGCTGGACGCCACGGTTGAATATTAATTGCTGTCTGTCAGTTAGCCTCTTGAGAAGTTTGTGTGTGTAGAGGTACATGTACATATAGATTGTCTTGGAGGGCGATTTCTTTGAATGATGCCATGTACGAGGAGATGTAAGAGAACAAATGGTTTGATTCTCTAGAATACAAAAAGGGGAGACTGGCTTCTGGCACAAACCAGACACACACAGAATCGCAAAATGACATGCCACTCATTGCTTCTACAAGCCATGGTCTTTCTCATATTCCCCTCATACATGAGTGTCTAGACTGTGTAAACTTTTTGCCCTTCGCACATGGACCTACTTCTTCTCATCTCGCATGCGTAGTTCTACCCAGACCAAAGTACCCATTTGCATCAGGTTTGGTCGGTCGATCTTGACGACCTCCAGTCCCGGTGTCTTTTGCACGGCTTCGTCGACGAGCGCCTCGATGTCGCGGTTCCACCAACAGCCGTACTTGTCGAAATGCCTGTCCGCATTCCTGTCCAAAAGACCATTGACGAGTCCGTACCATCCTTTGCCGTGCTCGAGCAGGATGATGCGTCCGCTGTCGGGTTTGACAGCGGACGCCAAATTGCACAAGACGGCCACGGGATCTGCCACGGAGCAAAGCCCAAACGTCTGTATAATGGTATCGTACGTCGCCTTCGACGGGGGCGAGGATGGCCGCGCCGCGCCGGCCGGCGGCGGGAGGGCGTGGTGCGCGTCGGCGCAAATCAGGCGCAGTCGGTCGCCGAGAAAGGCCAGCTGCCCGCCGGGTCGGCCGTCGCCCGTGGGCGTCCGTCTCTCGACGACGGGCCCCGAGTCGGCCGTTGGCGGGACGGCCGTGACGAGCCGTCTGCGCGCGACGTCGAGCATGTCCGCGGATATGTCTAGCCCCGTGAAGGAGGATATTCCCCTGCTGGCCGCGGGCTTGCTCCGCGACGCGGGGCAAGTCTCGCGCAGTGCATCCCAGTTGTAGTATTTGAGGTTTCGGCCCGTGCCTACGGCCAGCTCTAGCACGTTGCCGCTTGCGTGGTCGGCTAGTTTCCTGCGCAGCTTGGTGATGCCCATCCACCATTCGGGGAGATCCAGTTCCTTGTCGAACCGCTCGGCATTGTCGCCTGTCAGGGCGGGCGGGCGACCGGTCGGCGTGGCGTGCTGGCAGGATGTTTGGCTTGGGTGGGCTTTCAAGGAGGCGGTGACGGTGCCGACGATGTAGAAGCCCAGGAAGCCGGATAGGAGGGCGGCGCCGGAGAGTGGGAGCCACGAGCGGCGCCAGAGGGATTGGAGGGTATCGGTGCCGGTGCCGGTGCCGGTGCCGGCATCGCCGGGTTGTGAGGGATGGGGAGCATATCGGGGTCGAGATGAGGGCTTCGGGGGGCCGCTGCTGTCGGGTTTGAGGCGTGAGCTTAGCCTTGTCTTGGGGGGGTAGGAGTGGAAGACAACTCACGGTCTGTATGATTTTGAGAGGCGAGGAGGAGGAGGAGTGGTACACGGCGGTTTGGGGGCGGGCGATTTGCGAGGAGCTTTGGACGCTGTGCTGGCAAAACGTCTTGGGAGGCGAGTGGCGGGAGCGAAGCCACGCGTAGTGACGATCATTGGTACGGCATGGCCCTCTTTGGCTTTTCCTCGATCGCCCGTTGCAGAATTCAACGTGGGCTTCCGGTCCCGGACGGTGCTGCAGCGAACGACGGATCGCAGCGGTTGTGCGTGTTGCAAAAGGACGTCGAGGTCGAAGCGGCCCGACGCTTCGGAACCGATGTGGGGCGCGCGAGCTCAACAAGTCAAGTCAAGACGTGGGTGGTCCAAGCTTCGCTCGCTGGGTTGGAACTTGGCAGCCGTCACTTTTTAGTGTGACAGAAGCTGCATGCTTCATCATCCGCATCCTACGAAGAACTTGCTTACGATGGGCGACCTTTAAGACCAGCACCCGCGAGATATTACCGTCTCGAAAAATCAGCAATCATGTCGGGGCACGGCGACTTGCAAGAGCTGCTGCGCATGTTCACCTCGCGCAAGGTCCCCATGATGGCGGCCATGGGTCACATCAAGGCGCTTCAGTCCAAGAATCTGAGAAGGTACACTTCAACACAGACATAATTTCGAGAAGAATCATGCCAATTGAAGCATCTAGCATTGAGAAAATTGCAGAAGCGCCCCTCTCCGCAGTAGAAGCCGCCATCGCAGACGCCAAACTGGCCAAGTCCTTCCACGCTGCGTGCAAAACGCACGGGAAGAGGGCGATCAAGCATGCTGCTGAGGAGCCTGCCGCTCCTCCCTCAAAGAGACCTAAGCTGGAGCCTCATAAACGGGACTTGGACTATGGTTCGATGAGTGCAGAAGAGCTGGAAAACTCGCTCAGTCTGCCACTTGTTGAGGATGAAGAGACAATTCGAAAGACGACATTGGTGACAAACAGAGCGCCGCTGGTGCTTGCGTTCGCGGTGGAGTTGCTTCGCTTTACTATGCCCGAACAGCCTCCGAGCAGCCGGTTGAGCCTGAGCCAGGGGGTCTTGAGTGCGAATTCCAGATCCAAGGCGATTAGCATCGGCATTGAGAAGGCGCCGCCTGGAGGTGAGGAGCAAGTTCCCCAGGGACAGCCAAAGGTCAAGGTCCTGGGGCGCGAAATCCCCGTCTTGAAACGGGGCGGATATACATGGAAATCGGATCAACAAGGTGACGCTTCAGGTCCGACAGAGGGGCCTAGCACACAAGAGTGGACTCCTGGCGAGCACAAGACTTGGGTCGTGAGCCAGAAACTGACATCTCGGGCATCTACTTTTGTGGCACACGTCGCAAGCTTGTCTTCGCCTTCTCTTCGGGCGGGTTTGATGAATGGCCTCATGAGGGACAAGCCCGAATTGGAAACAGCCACACACAACGCGTGGGCTTTGCGGTTGAGCTATGGCAGCTCGCCGCTGGTCCAAGAAGCTTCATTTGACGACGGGGAGTCTGGCTGTGGGAAGTTCATGCTACAAATCATGCGGGAAGCAGACGTCACCAATACACTCGTTGTGCTGACAAGGTGGTACGGCGGCATCATGTTGGGCCCGGATAGGTGGCGCCTCATGAGGCAATGTATCACCGACGCGCTGTCTTCTCGCAGGCGAAAGTCTACGCTGGCAGGGGAAGCGCTTTGGGGTCTGGACGCTGAAAACAAGAAGCCGTCTGTTTCGACGGTGGGGATGCCCATCCACCGGCCCGAAGGCGCGAGGAACTATCTCCTGCGGAGCTTTGGGAGTGCCGCGGTTGACGGAGGTGGGAGCGAGACCAAGAAGACGCTGGCGGCGGTGAACGAGGAGAGGCAAGAGAATTTGGGGAGATTACTCGGAGCACTGAGACTGCTGTACAGGAGCTGGGCCGGCGTTTTGGGAAAGGACGAGCTCGATCGGAGAGCGTGGAGTTGGTACCTGTCTGTGCGGCCTGATGTTGAAGCTGGACCATCCGGATGGGGAGCAAAGGGCCATTTGGATTTGGGCAAGATTTTGGATCTGAGGCGGGCAGAAGAAAGTGCCGGCTAATTATTACGGTAGTATCAGATTTGACATTTCGGCATGGTGCATATGGACCCTGCCATGGAACGGGAAGTTCACCGTGCTGACGGTATTTGTTTGTCGCCAAATGAGGATGCAGGTTGAGAAAGATTCATCAAGCACGTACTCCGTATGCCAAGGCGAATGATAATATGATGACGAGTGCGGACGACTGTGCGATGCATAAACACGTACCAATGGGGGTGGTCAGGTTCAGTTGGCGCCCCTACCTCGTGTTATCGATAAGCTGCGACGGGACGGTCCAGGAGTTGTGTGCCCCGCGGGCCGCCGGCTGAAGACGCGGGTTGGCACGACACGCAGCTAATAAGCGTTGATGACTAAACCTAATCGGGTACCACTCGCACGGGTTTGGGGGCTGTGACTGTGTTGACAGCCGAGTCCCAAGGTAAACACAACAAACAGGTTGCCCGAAAACACAGGCTCGGGACTCGAGACAAGCAACAAGCTGGGCTGTCACTTCCTGCACTTTGACATGATTTGATTTTCGTCTCTCAAACGAAGAGCGGTTTCTGCGCCCGCCATTTCTGCTGCCAACCCCCAGCATTTTGTCCCATCCCCTCTTTGATTTTCTAAGAATTTATTTATTTATTTATTCTCCGTCGTTGCCGTTTCCGAAATAGCCAAGGCGCGTCGTCCGCCCCGCGTCATCGCGATCCTTGTGTGTGTGTTGACCCCTCGCTTGCTTGCCCGGGGTGACGACACCAGACCATCTGTGAATTTCTTCCTTCTGCCCTTTTGTTTTTTCCCCCCGTTCTCCCTCACCACCCCTGCGTCATTCCATCATCCATCCCGAAGGAGACAGCGAGGGCAGTGGGTAAGCTCTCCCATTGTCTGTCCGACAATCGCAACACAGCCAGCAACTGACCGACGACCGTTTTTTGTCTGTTCCCGCGCAGTGACGGTCTGTGAGGACTCTAGGCTGCCAAGATTCATTACCCAACGACGAGGTCGGCTTCCGATCCGCCCTGCATTTTTTCTCGTGACGGAGAAGACCCCCGAATTGCCATTCGCCATGGAGAATTACCAGAAGTTAGAAAAGGTTGGCGAGGGTGAGTTCGTGACACGCACCCGCGACTGGCGCCACAGTATCAACTGCGAGGCGTTGCAGGAACAGGTGCCCATCATGGTCAGGCATGATAGACTGACGCGACCAGGCACGTATGGCGTTGTATACAAGGCGCGTGACCTTGCCAATAGTGGCCGCATAGTAGCCCTTAAAAAGATTCGCCTCGAAGCCGAAGACGAAGGTGTCCCTAGCACTGCCATCCGAGAAATCTCCCTGCTCAAGGAACTGAGAGACCCCAACATTGTCCGCCTGTTCAACATTGTCCACTCGGACGGCCACAAGCTCTACCTTGTCTTTGAGTTTGTGGATCTAGATCTGAAGAGATACATGGAGGCGCTGCCCGTCAGCGACGGTGGCCGTGGCAAGGCTCTTCCTGAGGGGTCGTCGGCGACCATTATGCGACTCGGCCTTGGCCAAGGCGTTGTCCGGAAGTTCATGATGCAGCTGTGCGAGGGCATCAAGTACTGCCATTCCCGACGAGTCCTCCACCGCGATTTGAAGCCCCAAAACTTGCTCATCGACAAGGAGGGTAACTTGAAGCTGGCCGACTTTGGCCTTGCCCGCGCCTTTGGGGTGCCCTTGCGGACGTACACCCATGAAGTGGTGACGTTGTGGTATCGAGCTCCGGAGATTTTGCTCGGCGGACGACAGTACTCGACCGGCGTTGATATGTGGTCTGTGGGATGCATCTTTGCTGAAATGTGTACCCGGAAACCACTGTTTCCCGGCGATTCTGAAATTGACGAGATTTTCAGGATTTTCCGGCAAGTAACTGATTCTTCCTTTTCTTTTTTTATGCTCCGCGCCCTGAATATCCTCTCAGCACACGAAGCACACTTTTTTTTTTTTTAAAAAAAAAAAACTAATAATCCTCTTATTTTAGAACCCTTGGTACCCCAGACGACGAAGTTTGGCCCGGCGTCACTTCATACCCCGATTTCAAATCATCGTTCCCTAAGTGGAAGAGAGACTATAGGCAATCCCTCTGCCAGAACCTGGACCCAAAGGGCCTAGAGCTCCTCGAAATGATGCTACTATATGACCCGGCCGGCCGCATCTCGGCCAAGCAGGCCAGCAACCACCCCTATTTCGAAGACTACCTGGTCGCACAGCAGGAAGAAGCTGGGCGCATGAATGGCTACTATAGCTAGAGAAACATAGTACGCCCAGGCGCCGCGGGGCGCTGATGTTGGGGCAGACACAGGGAGGAGATGTGTATATGCTTCTACGGGGGGGGGGGGGGGGGATACGAACACACGAGCACAAATCTGCAGAATGTTGGAGGGCATAACATGACAAGCAGCGATTCTACGGCAAGCAAGCTCGCTCTCTTGTCATTTTCGTCGTCAGACTGCATGCCGTTAGCAGGCAACTGGGGCCCGGGGGCAGGGAATCGCGACGGTACGGGGACGCACGAGACGGGAGCGTCGTTTGTGGATTTCACGCCAGGTTCCTCTGGCTGACTTACGGGGGCATCTCGCCACACGGCACTTTCGCCGTTGAGGCCTTAGGTCTCATGGCTAGGCAGTGTGACGGTGTAGTTGGGCTGGCAGAACTTGTCACGGCAGTGGTGTAGACGCATTCTGCCTCGCGATACGAATCAGCTTTTTCCTTTTGTCTTTTCATTTACGTACGGAGCAGCGGAGGCCAAACTGATTCTGGGTTCTGGGTTCAGGCATGCAGCGCTAATAGACTCATGGACATGCTCGCCGCCACGACTGTCTTGTCAAATCAACAATGGGGGTTTCGTCTGTGCAGGAACTATGAATTGGTTGCTGCCACGCAAGAGACGCATGCCATTGATGCCGTGTGTGTGTGTGCGTTGGACAAGCAGAAAGAAATAAGACGTGTATCCTGCCCAAAGCGTGTTGATAGCTACTCAAGTACTTGGTACTTGGCAGGAGTCTTTTCCCATGGACGACCAGAGGCACCACGTCGCCCTCGACGACAGGACCCAGGAGATTGTGCGCTCGGTACACACTCGGTACACGTCATGCACTGTGAATTTCTGGCAGCGACCTTACTCAAGTAAGTACTTGTAGGTAGGTACTTACCTGGGTAGCTACAGCACTAGCCGCCTGGAAACGCGCAAGAAAGCGAGGGTACGCGGCCAAGGGGAGCGCTTGATGAAACCGAGGCAGCGTGTGGATAGGCGCGCGGCCGGCGACCGACCAGCCCACGACCACCAATGGCTGCCAGGCTGCAGGCTGCAGGGCGAAAGGTGTCCTTTTGGCCTTCACCTTTCCACTCGTTTCCGTTGCTCACAAGCCGAGGCGAGGCGGCTTCATGTGCGAGAGTCGTCCCGGGAATCGTTCGGATCGAGAGGCTGCCTTGGGGCCGCGACCGAGCGAGCTTCAGTTACTGCTCCGAGGGGGGGGCGGCACAGAAACACGGGCCGAGGTCTCGGGTTGAGGTCGAGGTCGAGGTCGAGGTCGAGGCTGAGGTCGAGGGCCGCGGCGTGGCTGATGACTCTGGTGGTCTGGGCGTCGCCCCATCCATCTCATCTACGGAGTACGGAGCGGTATCTGCTATCTGGCATCTGCTATCTGGCATCTGGCATCTCATCTGCTGTCTGCCACGCCTGGCGGTGTGGGATCGGGAATGTGGTCGGCCGCTGGGATTTATTTCCCCTTTGGGCCGTTGACGTCGTTGCTGAAGGGTGTTCTGCGCCGCCGGCGTGAAATCTTGCGGAATGGCGCTGGGTCTTGTCGCTGCTGCACGGCAGCTTGTTCGCACTCACTTGGCGGGCTGTCCCCTGGGCGACATTGCCGAGACCTGCTGCCAGTTGGGTAGTTACTTGAGTAAGTACCTGAGTAAGTGCGGAGTACGGAGTACGCGGGATGAGATGAGAGCAAGAGAGGCAGAAGGCGGGTCAGTCAGGGCGGTGCGAAAAGACGTCTCAGAATTCCATCCTCTCGAGACATGCAGATGCTTGGCATTGGGTGCGTAAAAACCACCCATTGGATGGAAATCGCCGCTGCGTGTCTCTGCTGCTCTTTTTTTGCTTTGCTACACTTTTTTTTTTTCAAAAAACTTTTTTTTTCTTTGGGGGGGCCGCTACAAAAACTACCTAACGTTACTTAAGTACATCAGTGTGTTCCGTACGGAGAATGTAGTTGTAGATGCTCGGCGGCGCCGCACCAGCCACACACCCTGAGGAGCTGAAGAGCTGAGTGGCTTTGAAGGAATCTTCTCCGCCACACTAGCGGCCGGGGAGGGCGTGTGTTGTCAACTTCGGCCGGGCCTCGGGGCGATCGGTGGCTGTCCAATCAGGGTTCTGGCCAGGGAGCACCTGCCAAAAAGTCTGGGGCAGCCCCCGGCGAGTTTGCTAAATTCGTTCTGGGCGGCGGCCTTTCCGCTGCCGTTGGTGGGTCGGGTGAGGAGGGACGGGGAAAAGAGGCAAGGAAAAAAAAAAAAAAAAAAAAAAAGAACCTGGTCAGGGCCCATGGGGAACATGCGGGTGGCAGCACAGCTACGCAACCAGTAACTACTCCGTACAAGGCAGACGGATGTTTTGGCCTTGGGACGAAATCAAGGGCGGGCCCGGGATGGGCAACGTCTTGGCGGTATTGGCAATACGATGCGATGTGGTGCTGGAGGATTCGCGGTCCAACCGTATGTCCGTGTATATGGGATGAGGGATATCGCAAGCCGTGGCAGAGAGTATGGGAAGTATGGGAACGTTGCCTGATTGCGATGTGCCGCTGTGTCAGTGGTATCAGGCGGAATACGGCTGCATGCGCCTCCCTGCGCTGCGGAACACGATTCGAGCATCGAGCATCGCGAGGCTGCCGCAACGTCACAGATGGATGATGGATGATGGATGGACCCGAGAGGCGAGCAACCAAGGTGTGATGTGCTCGTTCACGTAGGTTCCTGCATGGCCGGCAAGGTGCTAGGGGCCAGGAAAAGAACAAAAATAAAACAAACAAACAATCACAAAAAGAGGAACATGACATCATGACCAACAAAGAAAAAAAGTGTTCCAAGCAAACTTGCTAATGGCCGTCAAGGTATTTTTTCCCCATTATCTGCAATTTACAGCCAAACGCTCTCGAAATCGTGCATCTACAGGGGGGTGAACAAAACTAGGGTGGGATCATCTGCCCGTCTCGTCAACTCCCGTACAAAGTCTCATCGTGCCGGTCATGTAATGCAACCCCAGACTCCAGCAAATCGCCTGCTTTCCGCACCGGGCTGGTACTGATGTTGAGGTCATCTCCTGGGCGTCGTCGTCCGGAGTATGACCCTCATCTTCCGAATCATGCCATGTGAATGAATGACAAGCACTCAGTGCACCCGTGCATGTCACCCACCCCTTCCTACATGCCGTCACGCCGTCACGCCTGTGCTCCGAGGTTGTGGCGGCCCTTGCGATGGCGTCAAGTCAGCGCATCACGGGCGCGTACCATGTACCCGGTAGTTGAGCTGTCACAGCGTCGGTCGCGGTCTTGCCATGTCCGCTATTCCCATGGCGACGAGCTTTTCAAGTTTTGGCTGGCCGAAGTCGCCCTCAACGACAAGTTGTCGCAGCTGAAGGCGAGGCGGGATACAGGGCTGGCTATACATGCCGCCGTTAGTTTTGAGTAGTATGCATTGCCTGGCCGCCCTTGGGAGTCCATGGCAGCAAAAAGGAATGTCAGCGGCGGGTGATTCGTATTCTATCCGGAAGTCGTCCCCTCAGGTTCGCCATGCCAACGCCTGCCAGAACCTTTCGCCTTTCTTTTCGTGTCTCACACGTCGACAGGGGTTCCAGTGGCGGGGATCAACGGGATGCATCTCCTGATGAACAGACAGCAGTGGCCAGGGAGAGCAGTGACGTGGGTTTGGAGTTTATTTTGTTTGTTTGTTTGTTTGTGTTTTTGTTGACGACCTCGTCACCAGTCAACATAATCACCCACACAGGGTGCATCACACACACCGGGACCGGGACGAGACGAGACCCAAGACGCTACCGTAGCAGCAAGGCACGTAGCAGGTCTATCTGCCATCTGCCGCCCGAGACACTTGAGTGGCCAACGCTGGCCGAGGCGCCAGATACCAGCTGTTGACTCCCAAAGAGCACTGGATGCGTTGAAAGGGTTTTGAATCTTTTTGACGGAGCGATTGATTGGACAGGATCGCGTTTGGAACTATAGCATCGGATGGTTAGACTGGTGGCCATCTTTCTCCCTCTTTCCCTTCTCCTTGCTAAATCAATCCGTGTCCATACCAAGCAGAGGCGAAGTCGCAGGCGCAGGCGGAGGCGGAGGCGGAGGAGGCAATACTTGGCCTCAGCACTCTACTCGAACATGCAGTCATTTGCCGTGTGCAATGCTCCGCATCGACACAACTTTGAATCGTTGAGGAGGCAGGTTCCAAAGCGGTGCTCGCCATTGTTTCAAGTTGCCTGCAGATAGTTCGTCGCGGGCCAATGGTTCGGCGGGCTAGCCACTTAAACTGGGTACCTCTTTCCTACATCTTGAGTTACCTAGGTACCTGGTAGGTTAGGTACTTAACTTTAGGCACAGTACCCAAGTAAGTACTTAAGTTGGTTGGCTGAGGGCGCGCGCCTCGACAATCAATCCACCCGGGACGAGCCAAGCCCAGGGCCTCTCAAAGCTGGTCCATGGTGACGGGCTGTCACAGATGACGACCTAGGTACTTGGCCTTGCGTGCCTATTTAGGCACGTACGTAGTATCATATGGTATGAGCATGCACTCCGTGTTCCATCAACTGATACTCCGTACAGGGCAGGCCTGGATACAGCTCTCGCCACGGTAGGCGCGCGGGTTGAATCGATTCGCAGCCGGCCGCCGTCGACGCAGACACGGCTTCAAACTTGAAAGTTAAGATGCATGCATGCAACAAGTGCCCCGTGTGTGTTGGGTATTGGCGCCGGTCCGTCTATTCTATTCTTGGCTCTTGCGCAACTGACTCGAGTGCTCCCTGACTTTGTGCACGGCGAGGAGAGGACGGGCGTCGCGGGCGTCACGGGCCGTCAATTGACGTCTGCAGCCATCCATCAAACCGCCAGCCGTGAAGATCCAGCCAGCATGAAAGCATGAATCGGTATTCAAGCCCAGTCCCGGCAATAGTCAATTGACTACTTATTAATACTCGCCTGCCGCCCTCCCGTGCCGTGTCCAATGTTGGTCTGGTCTGCTCCTTCCCCGTTTTTGTAGCCAAGTTCACAACTAGCCTTGGCATCCCTTTGATAGAGGAATTCTACCGGGGTGGCATTGAAGGGAGGCTCTCAACCTCGTTTCTCTTTTTGCCTTTGCCTTCTCCCGTGTACGCTGTGCCCTGGCTCCCTTTTTTTTTTTTTTCGTTGTGTTCGTCTTGTTTTCCGTTGTCCACTCCCTCGGGTGCATCCTCCTCCCCTGTCCCCGACTGGCTCTGGCGCTGAACACTTTTGCCCACGTCTTGCAAGCTCTGGCGAGGAACAGGTGCATGAACGAGGACATCGGACACGGGTTGGAGTTGCCTCTTTGCTTTTCTTGCCGCCTGCTCGGTATTCGACTTTTGACACGGCAAGCAATCCAACAACATCACGCAACGCAACGCAACGCAACGCAACGCAACGCAACGCCCCGCCCTTGCCCTTGGCCGTAGCTGCATCCAAGACTCCAAGCACTCGGCACGCTGCTACGGTCCGTCTACCTAAGTACTTGGGTACGCCAAACTAGGGATTTGTTACGGGGACGCTTCATTTTACTTGATTCATTATTTCGCCCTGTCCCTTGTTTATTTCATCATATTATATGATACTGCCCTCTCCGTATAGAGAGTACCTCTAGATCATATTCCTTCCTCTCGGCAGCGCCCTCTCCAATAGTGGCTCGCTTGCATAGCAGCTGGTGGTGGGTGCAATTTGCCCCGGCCTCCCTTTGTATAGGTGCCGGCGCAGCCTTTTGAACTGACCAGGCCAAGTACTTACTTGTCAAGACGAAGCCGACTGGCTGAGTGAGACGAGTCAAGGTCAACCATCAGAGGACCTACTTACTCCGTACCGAAGCACTCAAGGGAGGTACCCAGGAGTCAGGACCAGGTGCTTGCGGTTCCGCCCCACCCCAGCGGACGCGGCAGGCCCCGGAGACCCTGTAGAGGCTCAGGCACTTGCAGGCAGTGCAGTCTGGCACGTCGGGCCAACTGCCCGAGCGCTGTCTGGTCAATCGGTACTCGGAACTCGCTAAGCCCGCCAACATTTGACTTGACCCCCAACCCCAGTCACTCACGCAGTTCTCCCTTGCGTTGGCCATCTCAACTGCCTGGCATATTGAGACGCGGCGCATTTGATTTGCATTGTCTTTCCCTTCAGTCAGTGTTGCCTGCACAGGTACCGAGTACGTGGCCACGCTTGGGCGACTTCTATATAACTCTGCGTCTGTATCCGTCTAGTGTCAGACTTTGGGAAGTCAGAAACAGCTCACTGCTGCCTTTTGAACAGCGGCGAAACCGTACACAGCAACCAAAACACTTTGCGGTCGCTTCAAACGATCCGCTCTTTGTGTGTGCCACCATCTTGCACAATACCATTCATTTTTGTTCGCTCCTGTGCAACGCCGAACACATCCGTCATACCGATCGCGAATACAAAAGTTGACGACGACGCCGTCCTTTTTTTTTTCCCTCCCTTGGACCGACTTTAAACTTTTTTTTTCTCCCTTGCTCGTCTCCGTCACATCAAATCGTCACATCGTCCGGCACCTGACTCTCTGACCTCCGGCTGCCCGTCCTTGACCCATCGCTTCAAGCCGGACTGGATCCCGCGTCAACGCATCTATCGAAAGACTTGGCCAGCTCTCTCACTAATCACTGTCCCTTGTATACAACAACTCTGCGCATGCGCTGGAGTGGTATCAGAAACCAAGTAACGGCTTCGGAAACCATTGTTTTGAGACAATAGCCCGGTTGAGAACGCACTGCTCTCTCGTCGACCACATCGTCGTCGTCGAACAAAGGAACACTCAAGTCCCAGAACTACTAGCCTTTCCTTGCACCGGATACAGTCCTAAATTCTCCCCCTCTTCTGATAACGCGTTCCGCTGGATCGGAAGCCTCGCTCATTTGCTCACGGCCAAGTTGGCCACTCGGCAGTCACCGGCCGCCATCTCCGGATTTGACGGACCTTTAAGCTTCAAACTCCACCGCCAAACGCCATCCCCAAGGGCAAACGGCGTCACCCTTTTGGCCTCGTCATCCCCATATCTTGCAAGTTCTCAGCCTCAGCCTCACAGCCTCACAGCCTCACGCCGGAGAAGACGGTGAGCGCGATCCGATTGCGAGCACCTAACAGGACATCTCGAAAATCGCCGGCCGCCACAAAGATAGCGCAGCGCATTCCGGCAGCGACAAAACTGTGTACTGCAAGGCAGCGGTACATGCTGTCCGCTGAATTGCATTCTAGTCACCTGGTTCAGCGCAACAAAGAGATCAAGCCTTCCAACCACGGGCGTTAAGGCCACGTGTGGCGGACCTCGACCGGATACACAATAAAATTCGTCCTGCCATCTGGACAGGTCGAGCCTTGCCTTGCGTCCTTGATCTGGCGTGGCCCTGGCACGTACTACCCCAGCCACAACTACGAATCCTGGTCCGCATTCCGGCTGCCGCGCAGCTCAAGATAGAAGGAAGCTGGGCCTCACTACGGAGTATCAGCCAGCCAGCTGGATCTTTGATCACTACAGCCACATCCAGGCTTGTTCAGGATTCGCGGCTTATTTGCCACGACTGGCAAAGTCGCTTGTTCGAGCGCGCTGCACTGTGAGGCCGAATCTTGTCGCGGCCTCCGTCGTCAGCCGGCCACGTCGGCATTACTGTCCGCCCTCGAAATTCCAGAATCCGGTGTGCTCGGCGGCTCGCCGTCTCGCTCGCATAAGCGGCCGAGAAAAAGCACCCCCTCCACCCCCCCGGGAACCGATCTTCCTCCCACAGCAACTCTAATTCGACCCGACCCCGGTCGGTCGCTCAAAGCCGTCCAAGCACAACGGCGGCGCCTCGTGTCGTGCTGGAATACGTAGCGCACCTGGATACGCAGTCTCCATAATTCGTCACTGATCTCAGGCGTGCGCATCGCCGTCAGGTTGGTTGCCCATGCCCCTCGAAAGCCCATTTTAAAAAGGCCGGCCCCTCGAAAGCGTCTCGGTTGAGCCTGCACGTGCCCTGTGACCAAGGACTTGCTGACTCTCCCTCTTTCTAGGAATCCGGAATCCAGGGCCTGTTGCTTGCCCCTCTGCCCCCTCGGCGCGTGTGGTCTTGTGATAGCACGTTGGAGGTGCTCGCACAAGCCGACGACGAGACGCCCGCCCGTCCGTCACTGCCAACTGGGCAAGCAACTGGCACGCACCTGCCTGTTGCCCCTGTCGGCCAGCACGCACCCCCACCCATCCCTGAGGCCCCAAGCCCACCCGCACCCCCTCCTTGGGCGGCACCCCCGTGGAGCCCTTGGAGCCCTTGGCGCCCCACCTGCCCCTCCCCTCCTGCCCCTGCTGCCCCAAACTAGGACCCCGACCAGGCGCCCCTGCTACGTGCTAGCAGGTGCTACGCTCAGCCCCGTGTTCCCAACGTCACCTACTGACGAACGTCCACGGGCCACGGCCAGCTGGTCATCCACGGCCAAGCCAAGGTGTCACGGCCACATGCGCATGAGCCTCGCGCCCTCCGTTGTCTGACGTCTCTGATATAGTCTCTGGCCCGCCTCCCTTGCCTTCGAATCACGATCACCCTCCCTCAAAGTCGTTGCGCAATTGCAACAGCCGTCTTCCTCGATATACATAATATATCGTCCGGTCTTTCCCACCCTGCCGCCGGGTTGCCATCTCGTCCCTCCCATCCAGCCAGCCCCACTTACACCGAGAGTCGAGGCTCAAGACCCGTCGTCGCCTCTGCTCGCTGCTGCTCGCCTCACACGTCTTCAAACATGACCATGGCGATGCGGCAACTGACGTTGGACGAGCTCAACCGAGCCGCCCTCGACCAGTTCGTATACCAGCCCGTGAGCCGCGACATGATTGCATATCTCGCCGACGCGGCTCACAACGTCATCACATGCGACTCGGCCTTGATGCCGTCGGGCTGCTCAGAGCAATCTCGGGAGAAGCAACAGCAACGGCACCTCCCTCCCACTCCTCCGAGGAGTCCCGGGTCGCAAGCGGTCCAACCTGTCGACAACACCTTGCCCACCCTCGAAGAGTTCATCACCCAGCTGGTCGTGTCATCCAACGTTCAGGTCCCGACTCTCATGTCAACCTTGATTTACCTGACCCGCCTCAAGTCGAAGCTCCAACCCATGGCTCGTGGCCTGCGATGTACTACACACCGCATCTTCCTCGCCTCGCTCATCCTAGCTGCCAAGTACCTCAACGATAGCTCGCCAAAGAACAAGCACTGGGCCAACTATACACACATCAACACCGACGTGTACAGCTTTGGTTTCAACCGCACTGAGGTCAACCTGATGGAAAAGCAACTGCTATTCCTCTTGGAGTGGGAACTGAGAATTTCCGAGCAAGACCTGTACCGGGAGCTGGATTCATTCCTCGAGCCTCTCCGCACTCGCATTGCCGAGAGACACGTCCGGAAAATGCGCCATCGTGAGGAGAAGAGACGACTGCAAGAGGCAAATGCTCGATATCCCACCCCCCCAGCCTCGCGAGGCCAATCTCGATGCCGAAATGCCAGCCCCGACACTGTCCGCTCTGCCAGCGGCGGCTCCATTACGCCTCCCGGCCTCACTTACAGCAGCTCGGCCAGTTCATATGCCTCGTCCATCACGTCGAGCAGGCAGCAATCTCGCTCTGCGACCCCGCTGGAGTCTAATCCATCTCCCTACATGTACGAGGTTTCGCAGGCGCAGGACAGCCTATACGACTCCCCCGTTCATGTAGTCATGGAGGCGGACTTTGCCAAGTCTGTGCCAGATGTCGCTCATCCCGGCAACCGCATGCTCCCGTACGAAATGTCTGTTGAGCAGTACCAGCAACTCCACGACGCTTCGGCCAAGAAGCGACACAAGCGGGGAATGTGGGAAAGACTACTCGGCGGCGCCGTTGCCGTGCGATGAATGTCTCCCGGACTCGCATCGCACCACTTTACATTCCTGGCGTTTGTCATCCCCCATTTTCTTGCCGACGGCTTTATGTGACCCAGGGCCGTGTTTTCTCTTTTCTCTTCCTTTTCTTTTTGCCAGCATTTTTATGAAGCACCGATTTTGCAAGAAAAAGCATGGCGTTGAGGGCACATTTCCCGCATTTTAGAGCGGTTCCGCTCCACTCGAATCACGGCGATGATGTTCCCATGACATTTCGCGACAAGGACCTCTTATCGGACTAAACAGACATTTTTCATGCTACCTTTGGCATTATTTGCCACCCTTAATGCGTCCCACGCAGACGTCTGCAGGCGTTATCACGTGCACACAACCAAGATGCACTTTCCTTTTTTGCTGCAAGGCTACCGGCGTTTGGTGGATTCCCACTTGTTCTTTTCTTTACAATTCTCATCATCTCTTGGCCTAGACCAGAGCTACATTATCGGTATAACCGGATCGGGGTGGAAAGGAGCATCGGAGTTGGGGTGTGGGTTTCCGGAATAGCAAGGCGGCTGTCTGGCACTGTGCCATGGCTGGGCCCGAGGTACAAGTGGTGTTTTGGTTCTGATTGTTCTGTTTTGCGTATACGTAGTATACGGCGGATTAGATTTGGCTTGTCGAAGAGAAGTGAATACAAATGGTCAGAGGCATTCACTATGTTTTGGCGTGGGCGGCGACTTGTGCTCAACACGAGTCGTAGATGGATGACGTGACGTCGTGATGGGTAGATGGTGGCGATGGCCCAGTCAATGCACACATGATACATGCGATCTCTGACACGGCGGGGCGACTACTCCGTACCTTGCCTTGACTTGTTTCCTACTTATGTACGGAGTACCTAGGTACTTAAGTAGGTACCTACTTGCTTGACCTACCTTGAACAAGTAAACTCCCCAAGTGCCAAGTGCGGCGTACGTAATCGACCAGCGAGCAACCTTGCTCGGTAATTTCATTTTGTTCTCAGTACGGAGAACTTGCACTGCATTAACTGGCGCTCCGTGTACTCCTTAGGGCTGGCAATTTTCCCAGCAGGCACCAATGGGTGGGTCGCTATGCGGGTGGCGGTCGTGGCGACTTTTGCTTACGTACGTGGTCTGGCGGGGGCTTCTATTCTTGTCTTGTCTTTTCCTTTACTCCGTACCTGGACTTTACCTCTCTTTTTGCCTCGCCTCGCCGCCGACGAGAATACCACGTGCCCGCCATGCCGTTACCTGCTTTGCATCTGCACTTCGTGTCCCGTCTCTCGTCTCTCCAAATCTTCACGGGTGTATCATACCATCTACCGTACATGATAACGTTACTACGTCGTAGACTGACTGACCATCATAGTAGTACTAAATGGTTGCGGACGTTGCCGACTTGGCGTGATTCATCAAAATACCCTGATCCAGATCCATCGGGCCAGATGCGTCGGGTGCTTTCCCCACCGTCGCGGACTTGATCCGTGTATTGTAACCTCGTACAAGACCGGCCATGACACATTGCACTCGGCTTCCTTTGGACCTGACCTGGCCTGGCCTCGATTCCACCACGACCGGGCTGTGTCGAAATCCCAGCCCCGGCACGCGCGCCTTCAGGCTGAGGCTGCTCAGGATGACGCTGATGCTTGACAGGGCCATGGCGAGTGCCGCCCACACAGGATCGAGCCTGACGTGAGCGCCGGAACTGGTCGTGACGGGGTACAGCAAGCCGGCCGCGATGGGCACCGCCAGCAGATTGTAGACGACGGCCCAGCCAAAATTAATCTTGATGCGACCAAAGACGGTGCGGCTGAGGTCGAGGAGCGTCAGCACCGTGCCCAGGCTCGGCGATGCCAGCACAAAGTCGGCGCTGGATATCGCCACGTCGCTGCCTGAGCCGATGGCGATGCCCACGTCCGCTGTCGTGAGCGCAGGCGAGTCGTTGATTCCATCGCCGACCATGGCCACCATTGCCCGGCGTGTGCTATACCCGTGCCGTCGACGGACTGTCGTGTCCGAGTGCAGCGTGGCCTGGAGGTAGCGCACCTTTTCAGCCTTCTCCGACGGAAGAACTTCTGCGAGGACGTTGGTGTCTGCGATGCCCACCTGTCGACCGACCGCCTTGGCCGTCGTGACGTTGTCGCCCGACAGCATCCAGACTTGCGTTCCTCGCGCCCGGAGTGCCTCGACTACCGCCGCTGCCTCCCGCCGGACCGGGTCCGAGATGGATAGAATACCTGCCAGCGCCCATGCACTCTGCTCTTCGTGAGACTTGACCGCCACCACCGCCACCGATTTGGCCTCGCTTTTCCACCCTTGCAGTCGGCTCACGACGGGCTGGGACAGCGTGACCGAGAGATCGCGCATGAGGTGCTCGTTGCCAACGGCAATGTCGATTTGCTTATCCTTGTAGGAAGCCTTCATTCCCCGGCCGGGCAACTCCTCCAACTTGTCAAGCTCCGCAGATACTACCTCGCGCCCACAGAAGCTGACAATGGCCTTGGCGATGGGATGACTGCTCTGTTCCTCCGCAGCCTTTAACCCAGCCAGCAGTGCCCCTTTGTCCAGACCCTGAACCTCTGGTTGGAGGAAGAGCTCCGAATCTGTGATTTTGGGCTCTCCGCCTTCGGTAAGCGTGCCAGTCTTGTCAAATACTACGCAGTCGACTTTGCTGGCCTTTTCAAAGGCTTCGCCGCCGCCCTTGGCGAGAACGCCATGCTTCGCCGCAATGTCGCCGCCAACAAAGATGGCTGTGGGAGCGGCGAGAGCCAACCCGCAAGGGCAGGCCACTACGAATACGGCAATGGCAAACTGAAATGCAAAGGCCCCAGGGCCGCCCGCAGGGTCTAGCTCTGCTTCTTTATTTATGTGACCAGTCAGGGCTAGCGAGAGCCACACGGCCCATGTGATGACAGCAATGAGGGTAATGACTGGAACAAAGTACGAAGTCATCACGTCTGCAATCTGCTCCAGTGGAGCTCGCTTAGTCTGGCCTTCGCGAACAGCGTCGATAATCTGATCCAGCATGGACTTGCCTGATGTGCCGGTAACCCTGATTGTCACAGCGCTTCCCTTGTTCACTGTGCCAGCAAAGACCTCTCCACCAGGTGCTTTCTTGATTGGCTGGGATTCTCCAGTAAGGCTGGATTCGTCAAAAATGGTCTCACCAGAAGTGATGATACCGTCACTGGCTGGTGATGCTCCATGAGGGACTCGAATTATATCTCCGCACTCGAGTTGGTCAATCGGCGTCGTGGTCGTAACTTGGCCTCCCATTTGGTCCTGCTCGACCAGCAGTGCAGTTCTGGGGCGAAGTTTTGCCAAGGCACCGACGGCATCGCCTGTCTTGGATTTGCTGTACGCCTCTATTAACCGTCCCATCAAAAGGAAGAGTGTCAGGAAAACAACCGAGTCGAAGTAGACTCGGCTTTCGGGCACGTGGGCATTATTCGCCGGTCTCTTCTTCGCAGCTGCAGCAATCATTTCCGCAACCGACGAAACGTAGGCGATGGTAGTTCCCAAAGACATGAGCATGTTCATGCTGCCGAATTTGTAGAATCTTTCGATCAGCGGCGTACGGCTACCGGATCGCCACATGGTACGAATTTCTTTAAGGGCTCTAATGTGGAAAATATCGGCCGCGAAGAAGTACACGGGCGTCGACAGCAAACAAAGGATAACTGCGGCGCGGCTTAGACCGGATTTCCAGGGCTCCATGAGTTCTTTCCTTGTGGAATTAGAGTCGGGTACCAGGCTCATGAAGACGATACCGATCACAAAGGTCGGAATAGCCAGGATGAGAGTCAGAATCATTCGCCAGAACAACGCTCGCTGATGCTTGGCGCGTATAGCCTTTGATCGCTCTTCCAAAGTCGGTGGGTGATATATCGAGGCCTGCAAGGAGGGGTCTGTCGCCTCGATGGCCTTGAGAACATGTCTAATGGTAAATTCTGGTGCCCTGGGTATATATCTTATTTTGAGAAATGGCTTGTCTGGTGTCGGAGCTTGAATAATTTCGATGCGCGTGAAACCCAGGTTGTTCAGCGTCTTGGAGATACGCTGGGGACATTTGGGGCAGAATATGCCGTCGATTTGAACCTCAACGTCCCGAGCATCCGCAGAGGCGGGCTTTGTCTCATTCAGGTTTATTACCTGGCCAAGAGAAGCGCCGTACCCGAGGTCGTCGATGGCGTCAACGACATCTTGGATTCGATCCCGCTCCTTGATGTCCACCGCAGCGCTGTTTGCCACAAGATTGACGACAATCTTGGCGACCCCGGGGAATTTCTGAATCTCGTCTGTGATGGTGTTGGAGCATGAGGCACAGGTCATGCCGCTAATGGATAACGTTGCTCGCCACGATCCCGGAATAGCATTGGCGTCGTCGATAACAACCTGGCTCAGAGGCGTGGTGGTTGCCTTGGAGGCAGCCTTGCCCAACTTCTGGGGGCCAAGCGGGGATAGTGCGCTGTGGGCAAGTTGCTCACTCAAGGCTCGACCGTTGTTTCGGGCCGTGACTGCCGCTGCCGATTTGCAGCTATCGCAGTTGTCCAAATGTGTTGCTGCTTTGCCTTCATGTGGTGTTGCCGGAGGCGTCTTAGCTCCCCATAGCCTCCACCAGAGGTCGAAGGCGCCGCCACTTCTGCGACGACTGTCAAGGCTTGATCTGGCTTGTTCAGCGTCCACTTCTCGGTTCAGCTCGTCGGGAACGGTGCCTGTCGTGTCGACGGCACAGATTTCGAAGCCGACGTCCTCAAGCGTCTTGCCCATGTCGCGAATAAAGTCGGCACCTTCATCTTCGTGCTCGACAGTGACGACGGAAGTGACGACGTTTGGGGACACCCAAACGACTCTGCCGGCGTATTCGCCCCCCAAAGCGTTCTTGATCACGGCAACGCATGATGGACAGTGCAAGTTGCCAACAAGAAAGGATGTTGTGATTATCTTTGGTGGTGCCATAATGTTTCACGACCGCCGTGTTTGCCCTGACGATTCGCCAAAGGCTGTGCGAGCCGTGTGCTACAGAGGCCGGATTGCTGCAGATAGCTCTGGTTTTATGGCAATGTTTGTGGTTGTCAGTACACTTTGTGGTGGAGAGCAAACGGCGAAGAGTTGAGTTGCACAGTGTGCGGGAAAAGAGGACTGTGGGTCATGTCGTCTCGTCCTTGTCCCTCTTTATCAATCAGTAACCGCCTCGGAGGCGGACGAAGCTGTGCCAGCAGCGAGAAACACGTTCAGAGTGAAATAGTCGACCACGGGCAAACAAGTAGCAACCCGTAGAACGGTGTGGCGATGGCCCAGGAAGATTTTTATCCGCATTGCTGACAATTCACGTCTTGCTGGATGTTAGGCCGTGACGGGAATTGGCACTAAAATCAGCACAAATCCCGCAGTCACCACACGTCCCCCCCCTTTCCACTGCAAGTTGTTGCAAAGGCATCGGCCGATGTCATGTCGACCGTTAAAGAAGGCAGCTCGATGCATCTCGGTTCGCCACGCTGCAGCTCGAGGCGCAAGCGAGGTGTCACAGATGACAAGACGCCACGGCCACGCATCGATCTTCGTTCAGCCTTTTGGCTAACCAGGTGAGGCACTTCTGGGAGCTTCTAGATTAGATTCCAGATAAGATGTCAGACGCTGACGCTCAGGTCTTTCGGCAATAACCTGCCGTACGTTTTACTCTTGCCTTTGCCGCTGCCCTGCTGACGACAAGAGTCCGAGCTGACGAACATGCGCGACGCCGTGTCACTTGTCGTTCAGGCCTATCATCTGCACCGACCACCGCTTAATCCAGGAACAGCAACGCTCGAGCCACGATGCAGGTGCAGATTGATGCAGAGGAGATGGTGTGCTGTTGTGCGATGGCGGTGGAGCGATGGAGCGCGAGCGGTTGGGCATGACTTGGGTTATTTTCCAGCCCGTTGTCGTCCCAGTTTTACCATGGATCGATCTCGGTGGCACAACCGGGTGGCCTTGCGCCACCACGCCACCAGCTTCTTTCTGCACACGACACGGCTCCGCGGCGATTACCGAGTGTTGGCAAAGAAAATATATACGGTGTGCAACTGGCCCCAGCCCAGGTCACTTGGCGCCGTGGCCCTCTCATCGTGGCCAGCCAGCCGGGGCATTACTTGAGCCTAGCCCATAATATTCGCTTCGTGGTATTCTGGTCTCATGGGCTGCCGTTGATGTTGCTTCCAGAGGGCCATGTGTGTTCGCGCCGTAAAATTGCCATCACAAAGGCTCCCTAGAAGTGGTGTGCGACCTCTTCACCCGACATTGGCATGCTCTGTTTTCTTTTCTCCCTTCATCTCGGGGAGTTTGGCCAGCAGCACAAACATGCTCTCTCCCGGCTGAGACGTACCGTACCGCCCCTCTCGAAGGCAGGAACTATCCCAACTATCCCTCAGGTTGGGGTTTGTCCGGGAAGGGGACCACAGACTTGTGTGAGAAATTCTTTCATTTCCCTCGGATCTGGCAACGTCGAGCACACGGCTGATGCACCCAGCTCGCTCATCACTCCTACGCTTAGTAGTTTTTCCACCCGGGCTCGCTCGGGAGGCGAGGTTTCCCTCTCAACGACTTGTCTTGATCGACCAAACAATCCAGAGGACAGTATTAGGTTATATAGGCTTTGGAGAAAACGCCCACTTTGCCGTGTCAAATAATGAATGGCGAGTTTCGATAGAAGCTCAAAGCACACGAACCTCCGATGCTCCCCCCGGAAAGGCTTGTCAGTGCCTAGGTCGTCAAGGGAAGATGCACACACGAGTTATACCAACCCCAGGACAAACCCTTACTGATACAGGCTGAAATCAATTCCCGCGTTGGACGAACGGTCAGGGGATTGTGCCGGCGGGCGCCACTCTTTCAGTCGAGCCCATTGTTGCCGAGCTCATAAAATTCTTCGTACTTTGCTCTGCTTCTGGCCTGTCTGATACACTTGGACGGGTAGGTCGCTCGACTCTCTACGCAACTAATTAGACTTGACATACGGCATGGTGGCTCAGCATTGTCACGTGTTTCGCTTCTGTGATGATATCGTCAGCCGACACACAGCGTATTGATCCAAGTGCAATGGCACTGACTATGCAGTCAATTGTTTTCGTTATACCCTATCCTCGTATGAACTTTCGCCCGTTCCGTACTCGTCTCTCATATTGACAGTCTTGTTGGCAAGCTCGGCTGGGGTACCGATGATGGGACGTACTTGGTCATTGTCGCTTTTGATTGGTCCTCGAGAGCTTCAGCATATCAGTAGACGCATCGGGATTTTCCTGATCAATGACTGTGCACGAGATCACCAAGATTGAGGCTTCCCATGAGCCACAGGACGAATTAAACGAGTGCATGAGACCCGTGGCGCGGACAACTAGGTGCATATGTAATGCTATCAGATTCATGTCTTCGGAATTGATGAAGTTTTCGGAGCAAGATGTTGGCGGAAGACGGATGTTTACGGGTTCAAACGGCAAGCAAGCCATACTATATGCGTTGAAACCATGATAAAACAAGACACAGAAACATTGTAACCCAACCTAAAGGCGGCAACGACGATTCTCCTTTGTCGACGCAACGCCAAGCACGAGTACGGCGACCCCACCAATGAGGTCCGAGAGTCGATACAAATCCGGTAAAGTGCCAAGTTTGACCCCGAGTACGGAATAGTTCACTACATGCGTGTAGACGTGCTGCATCACGTGAAACACGCAACATCTCGCACAACGCCTCAGCACCTTACTTTGGGCAGCATCTTCACCGTTTGAATTTTTACGTTTCGAGTCGGACGTTTCAAATGCCCAAATAAGGTCAAAGCTGCATCACAGAAGGAGGCCTCGACGGAACCTCGCTGTTCATGCTTCGGGCCCTCGATGATGGGAGTCGGAAAAGCGGGTCAAGCCGGGGACCGCGCGAGGATCTGGCTCTTGCATCATACGCGCTAAGCCTAACTTGGTAAAAATTGAATTGCGTGATTCATCAAACGTATCAACAATTCGGGGCCAAAACTGGGAGAATGCCAATGACGATGGCCGCCACGGGCACAAACCGCCATGCAAAGGCAATTTTGGCAGGCACCGACGTTCCGGTTGGTACGGGTTTAGGCGTGGGGTCGAGATGGTTTTCTTTCCGTGCTCTCTCGAGTCTGAAGGCTTGCTTCGCTGCACCTTCGTCTTTTCTTGTTTCCCGTCCACCTGCTTTCGCCCTTGTTGAGCATCTTGGCGTCCTTGAAACGATCTTTGTGGGGTGTTCTGATACCGAGGACACTGTGTCATTGCCAGAGACGAAGAGAAGTAGTCTCCGTCTCGTGGGCCACTTCCTCGGCCAGCCTCTCCTCGTTACGTGACATCGACGGCCCCCCTTGACATCACCACCAGACGGATTCGAGATGCGTCCGCAACCGCAGGAGTCGACTGGCGGAGTCGCCGGTTCGCAAAACACCAAATCTCGCGACCTTGAGACGCTCTCATCAGCATTGCCCTTTGGCCGGCCGGTCCCCCTGGAAGCCATCTCCGGCCCTACCTACGTGACTGCTCAGCTGCTGGTTCAGCAGATTGCCTACAAGCTCTCTGACAAGATATTCTCTTACTCCCCCGAGACCTTTGATCTCGACATCGCCGCCAAAAACTGGGCTGCTGAGCAGAACACCAACGTTCACGGATACGCCCCCCAGGTTCTCCCTCTCCAGACCAGAACCGGAGCCGGCGCCCTGGCTTTGGGATACATCTTCTCTCCAGACTTTGACGTGTCAAAGAGACGCGTTCCTCAGACTTTACTCGCCCCCTCGGGCAGCCTTCAGCAACTACGGGGTGCTCTGGACCAGCTTTCTCTCTTGTACAGCGTTTCCAGCCCGTTTGTTGCGCACATTGCGGCGGCCGATTACACCGATGCCGATGGTCTTGTTTCCAATCACGACAACGCCTTGAGGTTGGCCGAGGATCTCGGCCTAGGTCTGGTCGGCAGCTCTTCCACCTATGAGGCCCAGCACATGTCCCTGTTGTCGACTCTGCTCGCTGCTCTCCTGCCCACGCTGCACGTTTACGATGGCATTCGCGTCGCCAGGGAGACGCTGCGAGTTGTCGATGCTCTGAGCGAGTCCGGCGTCGCTGACATATACAACAAGCTCTTGTCCGAGGCGGGCCGGCTCAATCCTCGTCTGGACACTGCTGGCAAGGTGGTTGAGCTGTTGAGGTTGTTCAACGACGAGCTCGGGACCGTCTACCGGCCTTTCGAATACCATGGCCACGAAGCCCCGGATGTGGTGCTCGTTGCCTTTGGTAGTATTGAAACCCAAGTTGCCAAGCAGACTCTGAGCAAGCTGGCTGCCGATGGCGCCAGGGTCGGTGTCGTCAACGTCCGTGTCTACCGGCCCTTCATCGAGGAGGAGTTCCTGAAAGCCATCCCTGCCTCGGCGCGCACCATTGCCGTTCTCGGCCAGGTTCGCGACATTGTTGCCGTCGAGGACGACGCCACCCAGTCTGCTCTCTATGGCGACGTCTTGACCGCCGTTACCTTCTCCGACAGGTTCGACCGAGAGCCCCAGGTTCTCGACATGAAGTACACTCCCGCTCGGTCCTTGACTCCCCAGGCCCTGGCTGATACGCTGCACAAACTGATTGGCAGCGGGGATGAAGCCACGACGGTGCCTTCTCTGATCAGTGCGGAGCAGTATACCTTCTGGGACGTTGACGATTCAGCCGCTGTCAACTCTCCCGCCGCCATCGGCCATGTTCTGTCCAAGAAGTCCACCACCAACGTCTACGTCCACACTACGTACGATAACCTCACTCAGGGCGGCGCCGTCCGCACGGATGTTCGAGTTTCCAGGAAAGCCCTGGAGGCCCCTTACGACGTGTGCGAGGCCGACGTTGCTGTTGTTGGCGACGACCGTGTGCTCAGGGAGGTGGATGTCGTGGGCAGCGTCGCCCACGGCGGCAAGATTGTTCTCCGGTTGCCCAACTTCAAGGTTGACGAGGCTGAGAAGCGTCTCTCTGCCCCTTTCCGCAAGGCTGTTCAGGCGAAGAATGTCCAGCTCTTTGCGTTGGACACTTCCTTCTCCCCTGCCTTTGAGAGAGATGCCCAGTCCAAGTTGCTCCTTGAGCTGGCTTTCCTCAAAGTTGCACAGGTCGGGCTCTCTCCCGAGGTCCTCAGAGAGCTCGTCCTTGTTGAAGGCCGCCCGCACACACTGGAAGAGTGTGTTGAAGCCGTCAATCAGTGCCTCAGCAAGATCGAAGTGCCCGCTGCGTGGGCCGAAGTCGCGGCCGACCCCAAGCCCCCCCAGCTTCCTCTGTCGTTGCAGCCCAACAGCTTCGTTCCGTTTCAAAAGGCAGAGGCTGAGGAGGCTCTGGGGCCGCGTGACTGGCAGGCTGCCGCCAAGGGCCTCGTCTTCAAGGAAGTTTACGAGACGCGCACCGGTCTCCGACCCGATTTGCCCGTCAAGACGGCCACCATTCGTGTCAAGGAGAACCGTCGCCTTACGCCGTCTGACTACGACCGAAACATTTTCCACATCGAGTTTGATCTCGGCGACTCTGGTCTCACTTACAAGATTGGCGAAGCCCTCGGCATCCACGCCGACAACGACGAGGGGCAGGTCTCGGCCTTTATTCAGTCGTACGGCCTCGACCCGACTGAGCTGGTGCGAGTACCTGCTCGCGAGGATGCTGATGGGTTGGAAATCCGGACCGTCCATCAGGCCTTGATGCAGAACGTCGACATTCTCGGCAAGCCACCCAAGCGATTCTACGAAGGCCTGGCCGAGTTTGCCACCGACGATGCCGAAAGGAAGAAGCTCGAGGCGCTGGGCGGCTCTGCCGGGGCCGAGGACTTTAAGCGACGCTCTGAAATAGACATGGTGACGTATGTCGACGTCCTGGACGAGTTCCGGTCGGCGCGGCCCAGCTTCAACAACCTCGTCAAGATTGTCAGCCCCCTCAAGCGGCGCGAATACTCCATCGCCTCGGCGCAAGCCGTCACGCCCAACTCGGTGGCGCTGATGATTGTCGTGGTCGACTGGGTCGACAGCAAGGGCCGCACCCGGTATGGCCATGCCACGCGCTATCTCAGCCGCCTGCAGCCAGGCGCGGTCGTGACGGCCTCCGTCAAGCCCTCAGTCATGAAGCTGCCGGCCAGGGACACGGCACCGCTCATCATGGCAGGCCTGGGCACGGGGCTCGCCCCCTTCCGCGCGTTCGTCCAGTACCGCGCCATGCAGAAGGCGCAGGGCAAGGAGATTGGGGCCATCCTCCTGTACCTGGGCTCCCGGCACCAGCGCGAGGAGTATCTCTACGGCGAGGAGTGGGAGGCGTACCTCGCCGCCGGCGTCGTCACCCTGGTTGGCGCCGCCTTCTCTCGGGACCAGCCCCGGAAGATCTACATCCAGGACAGGATGCGTCAAACCCTGGGGGACATTGCCAGGGCGTACGTGCAGGACGGAGGCAGCTTCTACCTGTGCGGCCCTACCTGGCCGGTTCCCGATGTGACCAAGGTTCTGGAGGAGGCCATAGCCGCCGACGCCCAGGCTAGCGGCAAGAGGGTCGACCCCAAGAAGGAGATTGAAAAGCTCAAGGAGGAGGGACGCTATGTTCTCGAGGTATATTAGACACGCATCTGTCCAGGGGTGTTTGAACGGGGTGTTTGAACGGTGTTGAGCGGTAGCGGTGGCGGTGGTTCTCCTTGCTCATGGCGCACAATTCATGTCACGTCTGTAGAAGTTGAGCAACGGTTCCTGTTGTTCCTTTGCTTCCTCCAACTTGTCGTCCCTGTGACTGCGAGGCACTTGCCGCCTATCATCTTACACCGCGTCGCAGACAAAGACGGTGACCACGGGTTGCTTTCTCGTTCCTCCTTCTCTGCCATCGTGACCACGGGCACACCTGGACAGCGGTAATTCATACGCGTGCCAAAACGGCCCCTTGGACAAGGACATCCTAACGGCTCCAGCCCCCCCTAGAGTTTCCAGACACGCCGTTGATACGTGCATACGTCTCAGGGAATGCGAGTCCGGCGCAGCGCTCGACGGCAATGCATCCATGCAGGTATGCAGGTATGTGTGTTTGCATATACGCGCGTGGTGAGCAACCAACTTGGCGTCGCGCGAGTATCTTGGCATCCAATCACGCCGGTGTCCTCGTCGTCCTTGACTCGTGAGCACGCCGGCAGAATACTTGGGGAACGTGGCCGTGATGAGGGTGCGTCCTTGTGACCTCACGGCTGGGTCCCAGCCCGGCAGTGGCGTCTTCGGTCGAGAAGGAACCGGTTTCTCCTCCGTCCTTGATGGCGTCAGTCAGTCCCTGAGGTCTCGCAACGAACCCAAGTGCTGGGTGGAAAGGTTGGGGACCACTGCTGTCCCGTATCGATATTCACCGCCTGTGTTGGCTGGTCCAGCTGTTGATGCCACAACATGATGACCACGAACCCCCAATCTCAGTCAAGTAAGCGGTTTGGTAGCTCAATGGTCGATTGAGTGCCAGGGCGCAGGAGCAATTCTCATGGGATTTCTTTTTACCTAGACAATTCATTCATTCATTCATGCAAGTACCAGAAAATGCGTAACCACCAGATCCACGACTTATCATCCAGTCTCTTTTGCCAGACAGTTGAGGTCTAGCCCTGCCGCACCGATCCCGAGCTCTTTTCAAGCCATGGCTTGATGGTGCCGGAAAAGGGAATAGCCACAACGACTCTTCACAAGTCCCAACACCAGCTCTATGGGAAAACCCGGTGCGAAAAGGAAAGGGGCGGCTTCATGACCTGTCGACTGGCAATGCTTTAAATAAAAGCTCGCAAGTTCAACGACGCACAACAGCACATCCTGACATTAAACGAGACAGTAGATCCCAATGACCACATTTTCTGATTTAAAAAAATAAAATGAAATGAAATAACCAAAAATAAACCAAAAATAAACAAAAGGAACGCCGTAAAATGTCGTCTCACCTCAGAACTCATAAAAAACGCAAGAAAGAACCAAACATTTCCCTACGCCGACATGTAAAGGCGTAGAAAAACACACTCCATCATCCTTTTTGCTTGCTTTTGGCGTCGGGTGATTTGTAATGCAACGCCAGCGTTGTCGCGCTTGGTGACTCTTTTCTCGACACTTGCCGCCTCGGGGACAAGATCGAGCAATGAACCGCAGCAGTTACAACTAGTGCGTGGCCGGTCACGAGAGCCAGTCCTGCAGATCTCCCACGATCTGATATGTCGGATTGGCCGAGTGGCCATCACCGCCTTTTTTGTCCCAGGCCCAGCGCTCAGCGAACTCAGTCTCAAGGCTGCCGTGCATCATGTCGGCAATGTAGTCTCCAATGACTGGCAAAAACTTCCAGCCATGAAACGAGCCGCCTGTTGCCACGTAGAGGCCGTGGCTATGCGGATGTGGCGTGATCAGGAAGTCGTGCGTTGGAGTAGATGCGTCCCTGAAGGGAGGACCATTTCGTCAGCATGCAGTCATTGACTTACAAGGCAGGCCTTCAAAGTACATGGATGAATTTGCAGCGACTTTTTGGTCTACAACTTACCAGCACATGCGATAGGCGTCAATGGCGACATCCTCCACCTCTTTGCCGTATAGGCCGTCTAGAGTCTTTCTGGCGCGCTCCTGGAATAACTTGATGAACTTGGGCCCGGTCCAGAGATTGTACACGCCTTCTTCGGGTGCCATGGACAGACGCTGCCCGGTGAAGGGGCAGTCGACGTAGTTGGTGAAACACATGTCACAGTTGAACTTGATGGTGCCGTCTGCGAGAATCGACAAGCCTTCGCCTGTGGTTTCGAATCAGCTTAGCAGCCCATTGCAAAGTTGTGGCGTCATGGCAAGGCTGGCATCACCGGCAGAGTCAACGAACCTTTGACGTGAGGCAGGCAGTTCTTCAACACGGGGATAGACGACAGCTTCTCCTTCTGGGCGCCTTGGAGCTTTGCATAGAAGCTTACCGCACCGGTTGCCAGCAGCCTGTCACCGGCATGGAATTGTTGATTCTCGGGCGCACTCTGGACCAGCAGGGCAGCGGTGCGCGCCCCCGCGGCAAGCAAGGTTTTGTCTGCATGCAGAGTGTCCCCAGACCGCAGCGTGACTCCCGTACACTCACCGGCGGCACCAATGTTGATCTTGGCCACCACCCCGACAACGTACTTGACACCCCGGTCGACCGCTTCCTGGACGACTGCTCCGAGGGCTTTGTCTGCCTCGGCAAACCCCACAGTCGGGTTGAAGAGGATCTTCTCCAAGCCGTCAAAGTTGGCCGTGGCGAATGAGCCGTTCCATCGTTGCCGAACCTCCTTGACAGTCAGAAAGTGCGAGCTGTTCTCAACGCCAACCTCCTTGTATGAAGCAATACTCTGCTCGCCAAAGTCGGAGGGGTCAGCCCTCAGCATGCCTACTTGGTGATACCACGTCTTGTATAGGTCGTGGTTTCGCCACAGGGGCATGGCCTTTTTCAACAATTGCATGTAGAGCTTGTCAGGGTAGTCGTCGCGGACAATCTTGCTCACGTCGTGCGAAGCGGCACGAGGGTTGGGAAAGTCGGCGGTATCAACGAGCGTGACTTTGGTGGCTCCTTCCCGCTTGGCCAAGGTCAAGGCTGTGGCGGCACCAAAGTTGCCGGCACCGATGATGAGGTAAGACGTCATGTTGTGCGGTGAGTAGGTGAGTAGGCGAGCGGGTAGGCTCCGTTGCGACGAGAGTGATGGCTGCTACCGGTTAAGCGGTTATGGTGATGGCGAACAGGCGTAGCGCTGTATTGGTTTGCGCCAGACGTCGCAGTAGAAGCGGTGTTTGACAAGAGTGACGGCAAAAGGGATGAACGGATATAATGAGAGTCTTTGCACGCCACACTTGATGTCCCGGCGATTGAGAAAAGACCCGATGCTCCAACGCCAGAGGGAGCCTTGGGGCTCGGGTTGGGCGTGGTCGAGATTTTATACCTGGCACAGGGGCATATAATCGCTCATCGGTAGGACGCGATTCCGGGGCTGTTGAGGAGGCATAGTTCATTATCATTATGCAGTGGCGCCGTGATTCATGTTTCTTGATCCCAGGGGCGCCCAGACGGGGTCCTACCAGCGGCCACAGAAGCACAAGGACAGAGTCGGAAATACATTGGAAAACCAAAAATAAACAAGACAGTCATGTTTGAGCTGGCCAAGAACGACGGCTGCCAGCGTCCAAAAACCGTCGCGGACCCAAAAGTCAAGTTGGTTGTGAGACTGTGCCATGGCGTTGAGGAACTTGCCAACCCATCCTTGCAACCAGTGGGGAATGCGCCTCTGCTTGTTTCTGGTGCGGGGGGGAGGAGAACAGTGAGAGAAACGGGTCGCGGGAACGACTTCGGTGGGCCATCATTGATCACAAAGAAGGTTTGAAAGGCAGAGGGGGCGTGGCGGCATCAAGCGCCAGTCATCGACTGAATTGCGGCGCGATTCAGTGTGTCGCACGCCATCCGATTGTCCATGGTCATCTGACGATGTTTGCAAAGACTTCCCATTGACCAGAGACGACCAATGCAATCAAGCGTTGAATGGGTGAGTTTGTAAAAAAATGACGAGACCACAAAGAGGCTTGCGGCACAGGCTTAGGCTACGGGGGATCTTTCAAATGGTCCGTTCAGAACGACCAAACCACTTGGTAAAGCCAAGCGGGACTCGGCGGTAATGACGCTTGCTTCGAACGCTGATCAGGGACCTGCGTAGTCATGGGCCGTGGAGAATATGAAGTCGAATCATCTTGATACGGACGTTTTTCCTGTGGCGGATGATAACGGAAAGGGAGGGCAGCAGATGTGGGGATTTCGCTGTCGAAAAAAAAAAAAAATCCATATATAGATAGAATATACGGAGTAGAATAGTACAAATCAAATTACATGCATAATACATGCATACAGACACACATGCACGTCATACAAAATAAATAAAGCCCGGTGTTGGACGCGGACATGCTCGTCGATCGAGACTGACACACAAAGAACAAGCCAGTTTGACCACGGCCACGACCAATGGTCAGACCCGAAAAGTCCGCATGTCCCCAAGAGCTCATTCTGTGGTTGCAGAATAGAGGGCGGAATCAGTGCAGGGCAATACAAGGGCAGAAACATGCAAATGCAAATGCAAACGACTTGGTTGCAGAAGCTCGACATCTAGACTGCTCTGGTATATCTGATTGGACCGACTGTGGGGTCACCGACTAATCTACTTAGTACGTTCCCAAGTGCCTAGTGCTTAAGTGAGTACTTTGAGTACTAAGGTACTTAAGTACCTAGGTAGGTACCTACCTACTTCCTTAAGTACGGGGCGCGGACTGCGTACTTGGGCACTCGGTACGCTACTTCAGTACTTATGCAGGATCAATCTCGTCCCTCGATTCCGCTACGGATGGCGTCTAGCAACCAAAATGTTGAAAGTCGGGAAAAAGAAAAAAAATCAAATAAAAATAAATACACAAGACGTCAACTGGTCGCCTCGTCTGGTCGTTCGCCGACGTGACCCGCCCCGCCCCGTCCGACGTCGTGCCTCCCCACTCCCACCCATCGTCTCTTCTCTCCGCAAACATTCATCGCTCGGACCAGTTGAGTATCCTGCAACTCCCTCCCGGAGCACCGGCCGGGTGCCAGGGGCCAAGAGATGGAGCCGGCAGTCAGTTCAGATCCACAAGCATCCACGTTGCAGCTTCCCGCTTCCCGCTTCGCGCGGTTGTTTGGCCAATTCCGAGTCCCAACATGACGGTGATCTGAACCGTCTCTGCCTGGCCTCCGTCGTCTGTCTGCATCATCCCAGGGCCCTTGCTCCTCGGTTCGCAAATTCCGGGTCGCACCGGATGCTTCGTTGGTCTACGTACCATCCCTCTTGCAGTGTTCCTTCGCCTTGTCCGCTCTTTCTTTGGTGCCTTGTTTCGCAGCCAGGAGTCCACGTACGACGGGTATCAATGGATAGATACATGATACCACCATGTATGGTATGGTCCCCCTGGTCTTCCGGCTGCGGAGATACTGTTACATACACCAACTAATCACCTTAGGGCTCCAAGGCCTCCACGCCTCCGCGGGGCCGGAGATGGGATATCACGAGGCGGGGGCCAGAGGCCAGGGAGAACGGACACAACAAGAGACTGGACTCTTCAACCGACCGAGAAGCGCCGGACGCAATGGCAAGGAGCGTACACAGCCAGACTCGGGAGAAATCTAGCGATTGCACAGCCAAGTACGGCGTCCTACACAACACGTATATTTACTAACCAACACCGCGCCTGGGCCAGCCGCAGCCTGGCATGGCCGTGAGCCCCGACGGTTTTGCACCTCTCAGAGAGGCGCCACGCATTAGTGCCGTTTGTTTTGCACTCCCGTCACCCGAATTATCGTCGCTAGTGCTGTTTCTTCCACGTGAGAGCTGAGAGGTGTGTGGCAATCCTTCAACCTTTCACCGACTGCCACAGCAGCAGCCTCTGGTCCTACTGGCCGCCGTCAGCCACCCGACGTGGGGAACGAGTTGCATCAGGACAAAAGACCATTTTTTGAGTCAAATATGCTCGCATATCTCGCTATCCTGACATGGCCCTCCGAAGAGCCACATGTGCGTCTGGCTCACACTAGAAGCCCTTGCGAATAGTACTCAAATGGTGGTGGGCGCGCCTCCCACCACACAAATCTGCAGCATGAAGAGTGCATGCCTACCTAATCTAGGTAGTGCGTAGTGGCCAGCGACAAAACCCCGACAGCCTTTGGTATAGACATACATGCACGTGAGTATGTAGCACATATATATGTATTACTCCTCTACGTTGTACGCGCTGTATGTGCTAAACAACTGAATACTCCCTGCATTATTGCTCTCTGATGGAATTCCAGCTTCAGGCTCGTCTTTGTCGCTGAAGCTTCGTCTGCGGCTGGTCACGTCTCGGGCCCGTGCTTTGGGCCCGCACCGCGCCCTGACCACGTGAGTTTCCCAGCGAGTGGTTTCTTGCTGGATCAAATGTTCGATCCCTGCCTTCAAACTTCCTTCATCAAGCCGGGCATCAACGTTGAGGCTACCATCTGAGAAAGCATTTGCCCCAGTACCCCTTCCATCGCTTCGACTCGTCCTGCTCCGCGCTCCCGAGACCCGAGCCCTGCTAGCCGATTTGCGACGTTGAAGCGGTGTACCTCGAACCCAAGTCGCGCTCGACCTGTGTGTGGGTGGAGTTTCATGGCCATTCCCAGCCCGAGTACATGCAGGACGTGCAGCCCCTTGTCTCTATATGCCCTCAAACCTCTATTGTAGGCTTGAGGTTTGGGCGCTGTTGCAATAACATGTGCTGGGACTGCCAAGCTTGTCCGTCTCTCCGGTCTCAACTTATGGTCTCGTCCGTACAGCTTTGGGCATTTCGAAGTGGCACTCCATTCCGCCGCAGTGGCAAGTCGCCAGCAGCCTGAAATGCCTCTTCCCGCGACCAGCCGAACCGGGACTCGTTAAGCTGGCACAATGGTCGGCCTGCCTCCCTACCTCCCTACCTAAGCAGGTCGGCAGCAGGTGACGGGATGGCAGCACAGTGATGGGTGCGTGTCCGGCATTCTTGGCCACCCGCGTGGTGGGTAGGTGGCCATCATTCGTGACCATTGCAGCAACGCCATATTTGTATCTTGCACCGGATTCCAAGCTATGCCCGTGCCTAGGTAAGCCACCATCACTATCCTTTGCAGAGCTTTCCATGATGGATGGAAAGATGGCTTTTTGCCAATGGACATGGTGTGCTAATCTCTTGCTGCCCGATTGAATGATTTACTGCATCAGGAGCTGGAATAATTGCAATATCCGTTGGCCGATGACAAAGTTGGTTGAAGGTGACAAGAGAGGACAGCAATTTTACCACAAACCCGAAACCTTGAACCGGCACATCCATTTGGGCTTAACTACTGTCTCAAGAGACTATGCGAAATGCGCGGTTTATATGAGGCCAGGGGGGCCTATATAGCATGCTGTCGCACGGCAACGGCATGCCCAACGCGCCCTAGCATACCTACCTAGGGCTAATAGACACGCACGCGCATGGGATTAAGTTAATGCGCACCTAAAGCGTAGAGCTAGGCGTACTTATTTAAAGAGCATATATAATTCTCTCTTTTGTAGATTAATTTAAGGCTTTTAACTATTATCTAAGTAATATCTAGCTTAATGCTACTGCTATTATATAATAGTTATAAGCTTAGAAGGTATTAATTAACTTTTATAACTTCTACTAGTATATTAAGTATTCTTTATATATATTATATACTTATTATTTTTATTCTAAGCTAACTATAAGCTAATTTATTAAGCTAACTATACTAGTAGGCGCTATTTTAGCGCTAGTAAAGCTTCTTTATTTCTCTATAAACTAAAAGAATTAGTATAATATAATATATAGTTATTATAAAATATAGAAGATTTAGAACTATATAGACTTTAATTAACTAGAGTAGAAGTCTAATAGTTTCTCTAAGCCTAAGCGCTTAATAATAGTAAAGGCTAAGGTTCTTTATAAAGTATATTATTACTTTAATTTAACTTATATAGTTACATAGGTATATAACTAAATATAAAAGAACTATAAGTATTAGCATACTAACTAGCTATATAAAGAGAAGAGTATAACTTATATATATACTTAGTTTGCTGTTTTAATT